TGTTTCCTGGTCTGTGGGCTGTCCTCACGTACGCAATAACGTGATGACGTAAGCAATCATAGCAACCAGCATGGCGACGGAGAAGCGTTTCTTCGCCCCTCATCTGCTTAAGCTAGTTTAGACTTTTACTTTGACGTTACTTGATTGTTTTTATTTCGTCAACATGTTTACAGTTAAGTACACGGACGTTTCTGGATGTATCCGAGCTCTGTCGTCGCTGTCCCGGAATATTTCTGCGGAAAATGGGATACGCTGAGTGTAACGTTATCATGGAATCGAGAATAGGTATGCAAATGCTATTAGCATTGGCTAGCTATGGAGCTAATCGGCAGAAGGAAGCATATTCAAATTATGCTTAGGCAGCTAATGAAAGATAAACTCTTGCTGACTGTGTCACTCACTAATGTGGCTTAAAGTCGATCTGGACAATGGTCACTACTCACATTGTCTGCACTTAAGAGGTTAAAAAAAAAAGAAATCTAAAACGAAAACAGAACATTAGCTTGTAATACGATGCCTCAGTTAACGCCAGCTAACGTTAAGTTAGATTTACTACGTCTTTTTAGTTTTTATCCTACTATATTTATTTTTCTTTTATTACTTTAACCCCAAAATAATCCAGCAACCTAAATTTACTAAACAGAATAAACCCAAACACTAGTAAAATCTGACTACAAACACAAAGTAATGTACTTATTGTTTACATCTACTCCTATTTATTTTTGTATTGCTTAATTTAGCAGTTAAAAATTTACGTGAAGACATTTTTTAAACAATTTTTGATTGCATAGTCTCTAAATCTTATGAACATCAACACATTATCATCACAAGTTATCAAAGCCTATAGTGGCACCTTCAATTATTTTAAATTACTTTCAAAAACTCTGAAGGTATTTAATGTACACTTAAGGAAAATATTATCAAGTGGTACATTGTCACATTTGAGAAGCTGTGTGGGCCAAATATTTGGTATTTTATTTTGTCTGATCATTTAAATCGTCTTTTCCATTGAATCAACTCGTCCATATGCACCTCTGTCATTGCAGGGAGTGTATCTTCTGGACTGGGGTGCAGCCCCTCTGCAAGAGGACAGACTTTGAAAAGTAGCCGTAAGTACTGATACAGGCTAATGAATGTTGGTCATTTGTAAGATAAGAGCCTTATTTTATGGCATACTGCATGTTGTTTTGTGTTTTTAGCTTTCTGTCCTCGCTCCTCCAGCAAGTTGACACAATCCATCATTAAGGATCACATGGTGTCTCATTACAAAAAGGTTTACTCAGCGAAAGGTGAGACGCATGGCAGGCTTACATTCTGATCCTTGCAGAGACATAGATGTTGATGTGCTTAGCACATGTATTGCTGTTGCACGATAATAGTAATAATGACACTTTATACCTTGTTCCACAGCTGCCATTGATGCCTCAGTACCGAAAAGCCTGCTATATAGTGTGAAGTGTGAGTATCCAAGTGTCAAACATTAAATGAGATATTAAAGACAGAACACTGCTTTGCTTTTGAAATGGGGATGTGTCTTAAATTTTAAGGCTCACTTTTAAATTGGTGATATATTTTTTTTATTTTACAAAAACATGGCAGTTGCATAACCTATGGCTTATATACTGGATGTAGCTACAGTACCAGCATTTAGGTTTTGACTTAGGTTTTACTTGTCAACTTATCACTTTGCATCAGTATAATATACTCAGGAAGATGTACATCATCGAATAGGCAGAGGCTAGTTGCCATCACTGAGCAATAATGCAATGCAGCAAGCCATCACATTTGAGTATAAGATGAAACTCACCCCCCAAACCCCATCTCTCATGGTAGACATACTTTCCTCGTGTGCAGAATCATTATTGCTTGCTTGATGTGTTGAGGTTACTTAAGTCATTCCAGGAAAATTAGGTCAATCGCAAGGCTAGTAAAGAAGGTGTTAGATAAAAAAATGAAATGATATCATGACATTAATTTACAGAACAACACATGGATACTTGAATAGTTGTATTTTTTATTTAAACTTGACTCTCTAAGTGACATACTGAACTGTTTTGCTGTGACTGTGCAGATGGACCATCTTCTGTCCCTTTTTTTAGTTTTTCATTTTACCTGTTCCTAGACAATGATCAGATCAGGCAGGAGCAGCTCAGGAAAGGTGGTCGTCCTCATTCAGCTCACTCACTCTCACAGAGGACCAGCAGAACTTCCTGCTCCTCAGCCCAGGTAAGAAATGAAAGAAGGGTCACTGATGTGTTTTGTCATTGCTTTACATGATGATAGCTTATGTTGTGTAAATGTAGCCCTCGTGCCCTTGCCTGCATTATTACAGGCAGATGTAAAGCTTTAAATGCAAAACCAACATTATTAGCTATTCAGGCTTTTTCAATCTGCACAATAACTCATTCAATACATGTTTACTTTTTAGAGTAGATTATCTGTGCAGTATGATGACAACCCCTACCTCCACTCAAGGAGCTCCATGATGTCCAGCCCAAGGTTCAGCACCAGCTTTAATGCAAAGGAGATAGTTTATCCATCGTGTAAGGTCAATTCTCATCACATTCACCCAGCATCAGAAATTAAGTACCGGAGCCCAGAGGCAGCTGTGCAGAGGAAGCAGTCAACGTGTTCACTGGGAGCTTCAGGAGATCAAAGTTGCTACAAGACATTCCAGGACCCCGTTCAGAAGACATACGGCGGAGATTTGCTCCAGAAACATTCACAGCACTTTACCAGAGACAAACCATTCACTCCTAAGACTCTGAAATCAGATAAGAGTTCATACCTGTCAAAATATCGCTACTACAGAGCACCACAAAGGAAACCTACTCAGGACTGCAGCAGCTCAAGACTGATGCGACAGGAGACATATCATGGAAGGTACTTACTAAATGTCTTAACGAGACTTCAAGTATAGCAACAGAGATGTGCCTTTTAAACAGGTCAGCTTGTGCAGCATGTGTCTTAACATATATTTAATTTTGTTGTTGTTATGCAGCACAAAAAACAAGGAACACAAAGGGGAATTTGATGAGCCATCTCAGGTAATTTTGAAGATTTGATTTGATTATTAAGCCGTATAATTAAATCATGATGAATTGTGATATTATAGTGTTGTCCACAAGTTGCCCACTGAACCTATTTGTGGCTCAGGGTTGGTAATGCTACTCATTGTCCTTTTTAAAATGTCATGTAACTATCATTTACAGTCAGAATTCACATAAGCTACAGTATGTATCTAATCGGTAGAAAACCTTGACTATCGTTTTATATCATGATCATGACTATCATTATGCCTTTCCATTTTCCATCCCTTTGTATTTTGCAGGAATATGTTACAGAGCATGAGTGGTCTGAGGATGAGTTCAATGGCACATATTTATCATCATCGAGACAACAGAGTCGAACAGCCAAGAGCAGAGAGCGTCATTTCTTAGACTCCTCACCCAGGTGATTTCATGACGTGATAATATTATGTTGCATTTTATTCCTAATGCTGTACTTGGTGTATTTTCTCTGGAAAAGTCCTAAAAGTCTCATCTTCTAGGTTCTCGCCAGAGAGAGGAAAGTCTCCTAATATGAGGAATATATCTGCAGAGTACGTAGCGTTTCATAATGTCAGATGCCTGTACAGCTTTAGATTGGTTTCCATATGTGTAAAAATTTGACTGATGCTTCACTGAAACTTGAAAACAAGCCAAAAAGATGTATTCTCATTGAAGGAATCATTCTCATCTGTTTCTTTACAGGGAAGAAGAATTAATGTACCTTGAATTCATTTCTGCTGTAACAGAAGATATCTTGTCCAGGGGGCACATATCTGACAGGTTTCTTATATTTTATTGACTATTTTCTAAAAAGTACTTGTAATTTTAACTATCTCTATGCCTTCTGTCAGATTACCGATGAACAGCTTGAGTATTTACATATGTGCAGCCTGGATACACCAGACACTCTTTAACAGCTTGTTGATAGCTACTTCGTATGTATCTAAAAAACTAGAAATGTGTTCCATAGATGGCCTATTTCTAAATCCTGAATAATCATTGATGTCTTTGTCTTCTTCAAGGGTCCTGGACCGGGTGATAAATCGGCATATTGACATGAATCTACATAAGCTTGATGAGGTTGGTGTGTAACTTTTATGTACAATACCAAACATGTTGAGCAAGTCTTGTTTAGGGCAAGTTCCTCTCATTCACTTCATGCGTTGCTTGTTTTCAGGGTAAAATGCGCCACCTTCTGGAAGTTTTGCGTAAAGATTTTGAAGAACCAACCAACATGTCCACCTCCAGTACAGAACTTGAAAAGAAGAACGATCTGCTTGATACACTTCTACCACATCTGGATTCAGAGGGGAAACAAGTAAAAACCAAAGAAAACAATGACCTGTTTCCTTATGCGTCACTGATTGAAAACTTTGACTCGCCAGAAAATGCTCGTCCCTTACTGATGTCTACGCCCTTAAGTTCTCCTGAGGCAACAGCTTCACCAGCTGAAATGAAGGCTGACGACAAGGAGCATGCTGAGGATGATGAAAAGGGCCCTGGCTCTCCATTGCTGAGTGAGCATGTTACCGATAACACAGGAAACAGTGAGGAGGACTTCCGGCACGTAGACACAACTGCAACCAACCGTGTCAGCAACGAAAACAATGAATACGCCACCACAGCCAGCGATCAAGACCAAGCTGACAGCCATTACGATGGACAATCTGAGGAGCTAGAGGATCTGGGAAGACGTTTGTCAGAGTCGCTGCACGTGTCCAGCAAGACACACTGTGAAAATGCAGAGAATGCCAGTGAGCAACTTACAAATACAGTTGCCTCTGTTAGTGATGATGAATTCTAACTTTTGCTGTATTCAGGGATTGAATGCCCACGGGTGTTTTATTACCAGCCGATTGTTGTTACAGAGAGAAATTTACTATTTGAATTTTCTAAAAGTATAGTTTTGTAAAAATGATTTAACACTGTTTTCTGTGTTTTATAAGCAGCACTAAAGAGGTGTTGTAGTTGTTTTGATTTTTTAAAAAGATATTTTTTACAGAAGCACAATGAAAATGTCACACAATTAAAAGACTGGAATGTCTTACGTTGTAAAATTGGTACATGTTTGATTGATGCTGCAACTGAATTTCAGAGTAATGCGCTAAATTGTATCTAAGTTATTGCCCCATGGTATTATAATTTGCAGATTTGCAAAGGATAGATGTGTGGAATTAGTGGCATCCTTTAGTTTGAGAGTGAATTGCAAGTGACTCTTAAGTATGATGTAGCTGCAGTAAACATGTTCAGACTGTAGAAAAAAAGAAATCTGAGATAACAAAATGTAGCCTAAACTTGTTCAGCTGACATCAGCCTCTGACACGTAGCTAATAGGAGTTGACTGTCACCAGAAAGTGTCTTTCCAATTGCAATAAATTTTCTATTCTTCTGCTCTTTGTACTCTTGCATTTGATTAATTGGACTATTGTTATTACAAACTGTTAATCACACAGCCTACACTCAACAGCAAATATGCAGACAAAACCACATGTGAAGATGGTGACTTGGGACATTTTGCCAACGAATAAAGAGGGGAAACTCTTTAATCATTATACAATGCTAAGTGTTTACGGTTTCAGCTGCCGGGTGAGCTTTGAGTCGGTGTAAAAGGTAAACAGACAGGTCTGCGGCCAGCAGTTCCTGACAGCTGTCCCATTTCTGGCATTTTCACCGCTCGGCATTCCAGCTGTCTGATGTCATGGCCCTGAAAACCTCCATGTATTCCTCCGCCGCGGAGGCACTATAATGGATTTGAAGCGTTTTTTCAGGACAATACCGTTAACCAATCAAGTTTGTGTAAATTCATAGTACATGTGAAGTAAAGTCTAGTGTAATTAATGGATAAATTAGCCGCAGAATCAAGAAAAAATATCAAAGAAATAGAGCGGCGGATGTAGACCGAAAACACTTGTTGCTCTTCCAATCCCAGGAAGCGAAACACGCTTGGAACTTGAGTGAACTGTTGGACCAGGAGGCATGGGGTGCTACGTTAGTTTTGATCCAGAAACAAACTGCTGGCTAATAAGCGTCCTCTAATTCGGATAGATATCTTCACACAAAGAAAAAGAAAAGCACAAATTCACTGATCCTTATGGCGGAACCCCTAAGGACGGAGTAGTAGTTGGACTACTAAATAGCATCTGGTGGCTAACGGTAATGTTTTTTTCCCCAAAAATATTTACCGGCGACGTCAGCTTCCCTAGGGTGTCGTCTATTTGCTGGAACCTGAGTTAGCACGCTAGCAGTGAAGCTAATTTAATGGCAGTTCATGTTTTGGTTGTGTTAAAAGTGGCAATGAACTGTAGCTAGTTAGTACGGAATATATACAGTATGTGGAACAGACTGGAATAGATGAATTTAGGACTCATGAAAGTTACGTTGTAATGCAGATAATTAGAAATATGAAGGATGCACGGCTGAGGTGGAAGTGAGCAGGGATTTTGCAGTAGCCTTGCTGCGTATCGACTCCGGCTGCGCTTGTCGGTGTTTGGACCGGACTATTCGCAGGAGGAGGATTAATCTAACCACAAGCTTGGCAAAATGACTCTAAAGTGTTCAGGTAGCCTGTCTGTAATTTCTATACGTCCATAAATGTGCTTTTAAGGCTCCATCCAGAGTGTTGACTTTGAACACGGGCTGTTGAAGAAACGGTGAAGTTGGTAACAAAACGCAGCATTTAAGAGGATTATTTACCAATTGCCATGTGTTTGTCTGCTCTGACATATGTGTCCCGGTGACATAACAGGTGTCGAGACTCAAAGCCAAAGTATGGCAGCATATTTCTGTAGAGATACGTGAGACCACAGAGAAGATGTGATTAAGTCTGTGTGTGTTTCCTCCCCTTCTCCAAGACTGCTTTATTTATTTATTTTATACTAGTTTTTCTTGTGTACTGTATTATCTTGGATATGCATTTACATATTTTTGTCTTACTTTTCAGATCTGTCAGATGAAGACCCACATGACTAATTACATGCTCACTATATTCGACCGGACAGCAAGGAAAGTACTCTCTCTGGACTAAGTGAAGACCCCCTCCTCTCTTTAAGAAGCCTGAAACATGCCCTTGCCATTTGGCCTAAAACTCAAAAGGACTCGAAGGTATACAGTTTCAAGCAAGAGCTGTCTTGTCACTCGGATTCAGCTTCTCAATGGAGAGTTTGTTGAGTTTACACTTTCTGTGGAGAGCACCGGACAGGAATGTTTGGAGGCAGTTGCCCAGAGACTCGAGTTAAGAGAGGTATGTATGTGCCTTCATGCAATACAAGTAGTGATTGTTCGCTCTTATAGACTCGTTTTAAGACTTGCCGTCTCAGCAAGAAAGTATTCTTGTTACGGTTGTCCTCTGGTCACATTCTTACTGGGAAATGTTGGGCAGAACAGAAACCAAGATAACCAGTTTGTCATTGTTAACTCATATCATCAAAATATTTGCCCCCATTATTGCATGCCTCACATATTTTTATATATAGCGACACAACCTACTTACTTACTAATGTTTGACATGTTGTAGTAAATTTAACAGAAGTACCAGCTCTTGCAAAGCTTAGACGATGTAGTCAAGAAAAGCAGTTTTGAGTCAAATTGAATAATGTACTGATGTTCATGTATGCATGAGGCCACTATGGTCACTCGGTGCTCTCAGCTGTACTTCAAATTTATAGTAAAGACGACTGAATATACATACAATCATTGGAGCTTGCAGTATGTTGAAGTGTCCGTGCTCCATAATGTAACAAGGCTTCATTTGTCATCCAGTCTGCCTAACAGTGCGAGTGGTAGGCCTCCACCCTTATTTCATTTCTGCCACATTGTTTTTGATGGCGACAGCGGTCATTGTGCAATCGTGTGGTTCTCTCAGATGTCAGTCTTTGATAAAAATGTTATGCAAGTTATGTCACTCTAACTGATTTAGGAAGATTTATTTGAACTATGACAGAATTTTTTTTAGTAGTGATCAGACATTGAAATTGTAAGGTAACACTTCAAAGACTACAAATTGCATGGTTGTGCTTTGTGGGTTAGTAGTTCCTGTGGGTTTAAATGCGTGGTAAATCTGCCCCAGAATCATGTTGGCAAAATGTAATAAGGACCACAGAAGTCTTGACATTGATCTGTAGGCAATGTGTCTTAAAGAGAAGTTGGATGTCCTGACCAGTGTCTTATCTGTTGTTGTTTTTTCTGCTCAAGGTCATTATTTTTCAAATTGTGATTTAAAAAAAACATATAAAACATACACAGTGATCTTTCATAACTGATTTTGTCTGGTGCAAAACAGTTGGCAAGTCATTTTTTAAAATTGTGGTTGAGGATTGAATATAAATCACAGTCAGCTAAATTGTAAACAACAATCCTACAGGGGTTACTACTATGTTCAGACAGTCACAAGATAGTCTGCAGCTTTTCTTCTTCAGGTTTTTATATGTTTGGAAAACACTACAGATGATTAAGAGAAGACCTGCAATGTTGTATCAACGTTTTGATGTAATATATGGCTTGGTAGATTGGCATTCATTTTAATTGTTATTGGGTAAATTAGCTAAATTAGTCGGCAAGATGTGCAGGATGCTCTAGATGTTTTTTTTTTTTTTTGTCACAGTGTGGTTGAGGTGTAATGTTGTCTTCTTTGCTTTTTAGATAACGTATTTCAGCCTGTGGTACTTCAATAAGCAGAACCAACAGAGATGGATTGACTTGGAGAAGCCGTTGAAGAAGCAGCTGGACAAGTATGGGCTGGAGCCCACCGTTTACTTTGGAGTCGTGTTTTACATACCCAGCATCACCCAACTGCAACAGGAGATTACAAGGTGATCAGTGATGGGAATAAGCCACTAAATATATCATCATTGTAACTATGTATCTTCAAAATATTAAGACAAACTTCAAGTCTGAATGTGTGGTAAAGTTTAGTGTGGCCACATTAAGTGTTTGAACAGTTGTAAACCTTAAACAAGGTGCCAGTTTGTAAATATTTCTTCCCTCTATCTATTTTTTAATACTTAATTCAAAGCCAAGAAGTATCAGGTATAATGTGTATAGTTTTGCTTTTTAACGACCTTCCAACAGTTTCTGCAAACTTGAATGAAATGGTCATATTTGGTTGTTGCCTGTTTGTCTGTTCCTTGCTCTCAACTAACCACTGCTTTCTCCACAGATATCAGTATTATCTACAACTGAAGAAGGATGTTCTAGAGGGCAGGATCTCATGCTCGCTGGAGCAAGCTATACGTTTAGCTAGTCTAGCAGTGCAAGGTAATATGACTATTATACTTGGGACAGAAATTACAGTTTGCCGATTTGTTAGTGTGAGTCTTGGTGCAGTTTAGGAGCTTTAAGTAACAGGCAAAGTAGCAAACTAATTGGTGGTGCAATCACAGAGAAATTGTCCTTCATCATGATATCAGACAAAACCTGCAGAAATTGTACTAGACACACTAGAAGTATATGAATTTCTAGACAGGAGACTGCCAGCTCATTAGGGCTTATGTTTGCCAGAGTTATGGCATTTATAAACTACAAGAAGCCAGACTATGGCCAACCATTTACTTTGCCCTCTTAATTAGAGCAGCAGAAGAATATTTTTTGCACTCAAAACTTAGTTTCTTCTCGAAGCTAGGGTCTTAAAATGGAACATTAATTAAATGTATTGATGTAAACCACCCTATTTTACTACACCCCATATCACTTATAATTATTGGCTGTTGTTTGTCTCAAGTCTTTCTTCAGCCAATCATCTGAACAATTATACAAACATTCTCAAGATTCTTGTAAGGAGCTCTATCCGAAACCAGTCTATTAAATTGGTCAGAGGCGTATGTGTCTGAATGTGAACACTCCTTGCATGAACTTCAGCTCTGACACGTCCTCCTCTTCCAGCCGGAAGAATCTCAAACACTGCTGGCAAAGTTATATCAGGCAGTGAAACTTACTGGCCTGGGTGTTAGCATAGCAGAGCAACTGAGATCACTTTGCAGTTGCAGTCATGTTCAAATGCCTGTCCCGCTTTCAATATGTGCCCTGAAGAAAAGCCCTTTGAAACTTCGTGTAAGTGCTCGTAATATTTAGTCATTGATTTATTTGTTATGAATACTTAGTAACTGTGCTGTAAATATAGTTGTGCGGTCCCTGTTTTGCGTTGCAGGCAGGAATAGTCTGGACTGAAAGACAGTTGTAGCCTGTAAGCACTGCTGATGCCTGGGATACTTAACATAGCTGTGAATGTTGCCAAAAGGCAGCCTGAAGCTGTAACAGTTTCGAACCTCTACGTTGTCACAAGCTGGAGCAATAACAAATGGACCTCTCCTCTCCTAAAATTAGTCCATCATGTCATCATACAGTGTAGCTTTCCAACAGGCATTACACCATTCTGCAAATCCTCTGTGTCTATTTTGCCTCCTTGTACTAAATGCAGAAGTGGCCATGTAAAAATATTTGCTCAGAGTTCAATGTCACGGAGTTTGCTTTTCTATAATAATTTATATTGCATGCTGCATTTCTTTTTGTACACAGCTGACTTTGGAGACTTCAATCGATATGATTCCCAGGAGTTCCTCCAGAAGTTTGTGTTATTCCCTATTGTAAGCGTTTGGTTTTGTATGCAATGCAACATGCAACAATTGTCAGATGTGCTTAGTTCATTTGAGTGCTTGTATCAATTCTGACTCTGTGTTTGCAGGACTGGATTCAGGATGAGCGAGTGCTGGAAGAGGCCACTCAGAAAGTGGCTCTTCTTTATCAATCCTTCAGGTGAGCAGGTTTTCAAAGCATCAGCATGATTGTTCTGTGTGCAGATCAGCAGACAAACAGCTTCGTGAGTTGCAGGGAAACGCTGTCCCCCGCTGATTCGAAATGTTTTGTATGTGTCCAGAGATTCTGCCTCTTTATGAGTGGTCATCTGGATTGACATGAAAATGTCACCAAGGATGTATACACAGTTGTATGCCAAGTGTGGGCATATTACATATTTTGATTTTTCTAGGGAAAATAAATGAATTTTTGCAGCAAGTAGACTTAAAACTAGCTTTAAAAAATAGAAAAAAAGCACAACTTTACAAAAGTTAGAGCAATTCTAGCTGTAAAGTCTCAGAATTCCATCAACCCTTTTGGCCATAATTGATCCCTTAGGACTTGTAAGGCAGGTTGTCATGAGAACGTGTCAGCTAATGATAGTTTCAGAGTGTAATTATACTCTGACATGCCAAACCTGATGGTAACACGTGACAATCACAGGCTCCTGAATGACTGATAAAAATAAGAATGAAGCTTAATTGCAGCAATAATAACAGTAAACATAAAGGGTAGTATTGTACCTAAAAGTTTGTGTGGGCATGTGTGGGCTGCGGAAGCACAAATAAAACTGAATTTGAATCATTTAACCTAATTTTATCTGATGTGTCCTCAAGTTTTGTTTCAAGGATAGGTGTCCACGCTTTTCATCACTTGCACAACACTCACACTATAATTACCACTGCTCAACTTTGAGTTTAACTGTTTTTTATTATTTTATTGCCGTCGCTGCAATCAGCTTTATTTTTTGTAACTTTATGTTTGTCTTTTTATGTCGAGGCAATAGATTTTGTCTGTTGGTTGTGTCTTAATGCTTTACTTACCTTTTCAGAGGTCTGTCAGCGGCAGAGGCAGAGATGTTGTACATGCAGGAGGTGGAGAAAATGGAAGGATATGGTCAGGAAAGCTATCAAGCTAAGGTAGATCTACAAATTCATAACCCAAACCCCTAGAAAGCAGGACATTGGCTTGTAAAGTCTAGGAAACTAAAGTCTTCTCTTTCCTTTCATCTGAGCAGGACAGTACAGGTACAGATGTTACCCTGGGGTCCTGCCTCGATGGCATCTTTGTCAAGCACAAAAACACACGTCCACTCCTTTTATTTAGGTAAGTCAAGAAAAAAACGTTTGGCTATTACTACAATGCTTAAAAGGTAGAACATGAATCACTGAAAAAAAAAACCTGATGTAGTAACTTGTGACTGTGAGCAATAATTACATTGAATGTGTCAGGATAGATTGCTTTTTATGGCACAGCTCCCAGCTACACTTAGTTAAGGTTGTCTCCTTAATGCTCTCTAGACCTGAAAATGCCCCAAGAGGAAATGAGTCAGGTAGACTGTGGTAGCTGATAAGAATTGTGGAAACATTAGACTACAATAGACTACATATATTATTATTATTATTATTAATAAATTATTTATATATATGTATATATTTTTATCTGTCAGTTTAGTGAATAGGTGAACAATGTTTTGACCTATTTTTTATCTATATACTAGTATTAGTTCTAAGTAACTTTTGACTCCTACATGTCATTTTCATCAAGTGTTGGTGAAGCAGTACCACAATCTGTAAATAAAAAACAAAATGCTGTGATGTTTTGTGACCACCATGACATCATGTGTTCTTTTCCCCCTCTTTCTCTTTGCCACTGTGCTTTAATTGGCTTGTGTAGGTGGCACGAAATTAACAACATGAGTCACAACAGGTCCTTCTTTGCCCTGGAGCTAGCCAACAGGGAGGAGAGTGTTCAGTTCCAGACTGTAAGTCTCTGCTGCCATTCCTCAGTCTCTTCTCTAACAATCCTGAGGGACACTGCTGTCTGTTATTGGATTTAGCAAAATTGGGGATGTCCTCTCACAGCTTAAAATCAGCTGGTTTTAACAATGCACCACTGTGTGTATGTATATGTGTGTGTGTGTGTGTACGTGTGTGTGTGTGTGTGCGTGCGTGCGTGCGTGCACACATGTGTGCATGTGTGTGTGGGTGGGGGTGTGTGTGTGTGTGTGTATGTACGTATGTGTGTGTGGGTGGGTGTGGCTGTTCTTTGGGTATGTGTGGTTTACAAAGTCACATACCATTAGCTGAAACAGTGTAGAAGCAATTCAGGGTCTACACAGGAAAGCTTTTGTTTGTACATAACTGAGCAAACACCACCTCTGTACCAACTGTCTCGCCATCTAACAGTTTTTTTTTCTTTCTTTCTTTTCATGTGTAGGAAGACATGGAAACCTCCAAATATGTGTGCCGGATGTGTCTGGCCAGACTCAAGTTTTATAAGATTAACAAAAGTAGCCTGTAAGTGTTTTTTAACATGTCTAGCCCAGTTCCTGTCTCTTTGTTCCTCGTTGTCTCATGCATGTGTCTCCTCTTTGGTGTAGTCTCATGTCTGTCCTCCTCTCCTCCTCTCTCTTCAGAGAGGAGTGTGACCCCCTGCCTTCTGAGGGCTCCCAGAAGTCCCTTCTCACTCTATCCTTTCCTCGTTTTCCAATGCTCTCTCGCCCCTCTCTGCCTTCTAATAAGGGGTGAGCAACAAAGTCAGCCACCACCTACAGTGTGCTTATCAAGCAGGTGCCATTATCCATCCCTTTGTGATTGCTTACTCAACAGTGCTGCCATTGTTGGTTAAGCTCTTTATATCTGAAATGGGCCTTCGGTTGTGAAGCATTTAGTCATTTTATATCCGCTTAAAATACATTTTTAACTTTGGTTTACAGGGACTTGTCACTGTTGACCTGTTAGTGGGAAGGAGTATCAGACCTGTCTGTACTTGTTGAGTACTGACTGACATCACATGTTGAAGATTGGCAGCAAAAGCTTGGTCAAATTTATACTTCTTTTACTTCTGTGATAATACAAGTTTTCAAATATAAATCCCAACTATACTAAGTTTAGATTATATTTTCATTGGGCCAATTTTTTGTTCGGTGTCATGTGTCAGGAGAAACTTTTACTTTTTAAAATATTTAATAAATGTAAGTAATTCAAAATAAGCCCAAGCGTGCTGCATACAGTGTGCTTGTGGGTGCACTGGAGCAAGTACATTATCTGGTGTACTGGAGAAGAGGTGTGTGACATGTTTTTAAACTGTGCTGGACTTGACTTTGTGTGCACCTTGCTGTGTGGGCATCAGTGTTGAAGAACAACAAGAGAAAATTAGGTGTTGGAAAGCCTATTAGTAGTACTGCTCTTGGGTGAAATCATCTATTTTTACTGACATGTTTTGTTTTTTTCCCCACCAGCCAAACCCAGCCTACAGTTGTCAACCCAGTCAGACGGAGATCCAGCACTAGAATATCTCTGGTAATGTCCATGCTCCCTCAAAACCAATTGCAAAATGCCAATGCTAACACATTTTGTTTGCTGGTATAAATTCCTACCACATGTCTGGCTGGTATTGTAGCACATTAAATATGTTCAAATCCTTTTGCAGCAGCAGTGTGTTATCGCCCAGGCATATTTAATTCTTTGTTCTTGGACAGCATCTTGAACTAAATGCCTCTCTTGTTTATTTTACAGCCAAAGCCACAGGCCTACATGATGCCCCCACCGCAAATGCACTACAATGGGCATTTCACAGAGCCTTACACATCATCACAAGGTAGCTACTGTTTAGAAATTGACTTGCAACTAAGAGCTCGTAAATGAGTACGTGATGCTACTAATTCTATTGCCTTGTGATTCTGCATTGTGTTCAGCTGAATTTAAATTGTTTTGTTCTTCTGATCCTATATCCAACTTGTTCTCGTTATTACTTTCTCATAGACAACCTGTATATGAACAGTCAGAACGGGTATTACTACCACTCTCAGACCAGCCTGGACTGCCCTCCTCTGGAATACAGCAGCGGAGGGCGTTTACGTAACGGCAGCGTGTACAGCGCCCATAGCACCAGCTCTCTTACCAATCCCCAGCACTACCTTCAGCCCTCACCCATGTCCTCCAACCCCTCTATTACTAGCGACATCACCAGGCCAGACTACGTCCCCTCTCACCGCCACAGCGCTCTCATCCCACCTTCCTATCGTGCCACTCCTGATTATGAGACGGTGATGCGGCAGAAGAACCGAGGCACAGGGGGAGGAATGGTTCTGTCTCAAGAGCACCGGCAGAGCCACTCAATGAGGAACCTAAACATTGGAAACTCATATGCCTACAGTAGGCCAGACCCTCTGGTTTACAGCCAGCCAGAGATTAGGGGGGAACATGGCGGAGCAGCCCAACACCACCACTATCCCTTCCATCTAGGCTCCAGCTTCCATAGCCCTTCTCCGTACCCCTACCCTACAGAGAGGAGGCCTGTCGTGGGGGCAGTGAGTGTCCCAGAGCTCACAAATGTCCAGCTACAACAGGCACAGGAGTATCCAGCCCCTAACATCATGAGAACACACGTGTACCGACCACCTCCACCATACCCATATGCTCATCCGCGACCTGCAAACAGTACACCTGACCTGTCGCGTCACCTGTATGTCAGCAGTAGCAATCCAGACCTGATCATCACGAGGCGCGTGCATCACTCAGTCCAGACCTTTCAAGAGGACAGCCTGCCTGTTGCACACTCTTTGCAAGAGGTTTCAGAGCCTCTTTTCAGCGGACCCCCGCACAGACACCCATACCACGCTCAGAAGCGTAATTCTATTGAAATTGCTGGGTTGGCACACAGCCTGGAAGGTATGAGAGTCAAAGAGCGGACTGTGTCTTCTTCGGCTGCTGAAACAGCCACGCCCCCTCCGGTGCTGCGTGGCGGTCGCTCTCAGGGGTCCCAGCTTAACGTGTTTTTTGAACGCACAAAGACAGAGGACAGGGGAGACATCAAGGAGGACGTGCAGTATGGACACAAAAAGTCCCTTTCAGACGCCACCATGCTCGTTCACAGCAGTGGTGAAGAAGAGGAGTTTGAGGACGACAGCGGACGTCACACTCCACTATCTCAGGACGCAATGGCAGCCATCGTTCCTGAGCAGCCGCCACAACAGCATCACAGCCTGACGTCTCTGTCTTCCCTGACGCCTCAGCAACAGACCCCCATTGAGCCTCCTCCTGCATATCCCATAGGCTCTGCCCTCGACCCCTCTGTAACCAGCCCCATGTCCTACAAGGTTCACCCCCTGATCCAAGAAGGGGAGCCCCTGTACCTGCTGTCAGATTTACGACAGCCCAGGATTATGCCCTCGGTCTCAGAGGGAGACCTGAGTGGCCAGGCCAAGCAGAGGACTAAGAAAGACTTTAAGAAGAGGCCCGTGTCTGATGTGCCTCCAGGGAAGAAAACTGTAGAGGGTTTGCCGCCACCGGTGAGTCCTGTTCCAAACGTCAGTTCTTAGCTTGGAGCCATTCTGTTAATGTGTTGTTGTTGTTTAACTCAGCCTACATCAGAAAATATACTTGTTTACAGTTATCGTATAGTGCACTAGTGATTTGATACGGGCACTTTTGTTGTGTTGTAGCAGTAACAGAGATATTTTAGAGAGTTAGATATATTTTTAGAGATCTTCTATCCGGTCTCTCTGCACTTTTCGAAATATGTTCCTTTTAAACTTGGTTTAAGGCAAACTTGGTAGTTTAACTCACTGGTCAGTTGCACAGAGCAGACAGGAGACAAATATGGAACAAATTCAAACTGTATGTGGTAGAACATCCGGAGTCTACATTTTTTTTTCCAGTATTGCCGACACCTGTGAACACTTGGAAACGCTGCTGATTCCAGGTTTCCTTTGAACAGATTTTCTACTTCTGTTCATCTCTTGGTGTGGATGTCTCTAATCAGACCCCCTAAAACTAGCGCTTTTTGTGGTAAGACAAAGTGAAGTGTGATTAAGTATGGGTATTTACTGCATATTTATGTATATGGCTTAAAAACATAAGCCAGCCCGGAGGAAATAGACCCAGGAGGTAAAGTTGACCAGAGAAAAGAGGCAGGATATGGACCTGGTGGGTGGACACACAAACACCGCGAGAGTCAAGCTGCAGCAGCAGCAGCAGGCATGTTGACAATGGAGACGAAGGGTTATTTGAGACTGCTCAGTAAAAGAAAGCGTAGGCAACTAGGCCATTTTGCATTAAGGAGCAGTCACGTTTGGTGATGAACAGTAATAATAACAGTCAATCAGCTGGTAACTCCATGTCTATCTAGATGTTAATTGTTCTGTGTATAGTTCTATGAAATCAGATGCATTGTGTGCGCCTTGTTTTTCTCAGTTACTTGACATCTTTGGCTCATCTCAAGATCACGAGTGTACATGTAGAAGGAATTAGAGGAAGTTTCAGTGGCCAGAGCTGAATGACGCAAACGGGCTCACTTTAACTCATATCGAAAGAATGTAGTTTCACTACCTTGGAAAACTGGAAAGGTGACATTCTCCCGGAGAACGCCCAATGAGGCTGTGCTGTCCCTCCCCTTTTGTATTTCTCTTCTCTCTCGCAGAGGCTCACACATATTTATCCTCACTGTTTCTCTGTCTCTACTCTGTTGCCATACCAGGGCATGAAGAAAGGAGCGAGGTCAGAGGTGAAGAAGATGGGTCCTCTGAAGGTGGCCCATCTCAATGGCCTCTCGGTGTCTAGGCAGCCAGTGCATGACGACATCAAGGATGAGCCTGAACGTGCCTCCAACGACGAGCGGGTAGGACGCTTGTTTGATTTTGTCTGTAGTTTTGTAATTTAGTTCGTTTTTTACAGTACGTTTGTTTAGAGACTTTACTATTGTGGTTTGTTTTGAAGGACACATTAAGGAAATTTCTTTTACCCAATTTTAACACAACTGAACTGGTTAGCCTTGTTGTTGTTGTTGTTGCTATGACAGTGAAAGTAAGTTCCCAGCACTTCTCCACCTCATCAAGAATAGTTGTGTCATACACACAAGTATAGTTATCCATAGCCTGTAGTTCCCTGATGCTTCATTTGTATGAATACGTTCTTTTCATTCTTCTTTACTTGTATTATAAACTGTCTCCTGATGTCCTTTGTTGTTCTATCATGTATGTTGACTTTCACTAGTGCAGATCAAATTTAGAAAACTTGGCATAATATTGCATCTCATGCAGGTAGTTTGACAGTTTAAAAAATTGCCTACAATGCTACATATTTACATTTTTCTAGACTTTTTACAAGAACAATATTCTTTAAAAGGATGGAATTAGCATAAACAGCTAGTTTAGGTACTAATGCATCAAAACATTAGGTGGATCGGGTCAGAACACCATGCACAACAGTTCTTCCTATGGCAAGCTGGTAAAGTACAACTAGTTGTTCCCTCATCTGTTAAAGAAGATTGTCCTTCAGTCTTGTATTTTGTCACCAACTTTTGCAGGATTTTTTTCTTATCATTGATTTTTATTGAGATCAAAAATGTTCTTGCATGCAAAGTATCACTGCTGTCTCAGTTCTGATCAAAGACAAAGAGATGATGCTGTACATCTGACTACACAATTAGTTTATTTTTAAAATGAAACTGGCTGGCTGAGATAAAGTTATTCATGAATAGGGATTTCATTGCCCATGAGAGTGACATGTTTTCTGTCTGTGTACATCAGTGCATGGTGCTGGAGCAGCACATGGATAGAGGTGAACTGTTAAAGGAGTATGAGAGCATCCCAAAGCGTCGTCCAGGAGGGGAGTGCACCGTTGCCCAGCTGCCAGAGAGTGGAGACAAAAACCGCTTCCAAGATGTCCTGCCTTATGACGACACCCGAGTGGAGCTGGTTCCCACTAAAGAGAACAACACAGGCTACATCAATGCTTCACACGTTAGAGTAAGTTGTGCAGAGATGTATAATAATCACATGGGCGTGATTTTTTTTTTCTTAAGATCCCCCAGAAGTAAGGTTTTTATCAAAAAAGCTGCTCGTGATGTCTTCATCTGTAAGGCAAACACAAAGTCTCACTAAAAACTGTCACATGTGCCTACATCACTGTGCCATTTTGGACTTTATTTCAGTGTAAAATTCCACAATTAAGTTTGCTAACATGACCACCAAAGACTGGAGAGTGACATTCTGCTGCAAAGTAAAAGCCGACACTATATATTCTCAAAGCCAAGGCAGGTTTATTTGCATAGCACATTGCATGCACAGAGGCAATTATAAGTGCTTTACATAATGCATCAAACAAATAACAGTACAGCTTTGTGAATACCAGCTTTAGGAGCGGAGCCTAGACCAGTCTTAATGATTAACATCCTTAAATGTGTGCATTTACATCAGAGAATTGTGCCAACAATACAGATGTAATATTGCTGAAGGAACACACACTCGTTGTGTCTGTGGTACTTCAGAGTTACTCCCCATAAACCAGATGATTGGGCTGCTTCCCTTTCCAAACATACTGTACATGTTGTACGGTTTTATTCACAGCCCGAGTGAGATTAAAGTTAGTTAGCTGTTCATAGCTGACTGCTTCTCGACCACTTCTGAAAACAAAATAGTTTTGAGTTGTACTACACTGTTTAATACACAACAATGTGCCGCTAGTGCACGACAGACGCCTCCAACAGCACATCTCTTTCTTCCCTCTGTGTGCTGAGAGTCTCAGATGTGATCCGAACTGTAATTTCTAATTAAATGCCGAAAGAGGCTGAATTTTGAGTGATCAATATAATTACAATCTTTAGCAAAACCGCTTCAGCACAGTCCACACAATGTTTGATTCATCCCATCCTCCAGGCCTGATAACCAGACATCCCAGCACTCGCCTGGATTTCAGCTGCTCATGAATAGCTGACATGCTACTCATACAAGGGTGTTTGGTGGTTTGTGGGAAGGCAATGACTTGGTCACTGTTACTCCCTCATTGTTCAGTCTCAGGAGTAAGAGAATTTCTGGCTCAGTTTTTAGAAGGAATTATTGATGAGTTCCCATGGCTGATGGCTTCAAAAACACTCCCATTGTCTCCTGTCTCATCAGATAACAGTAAGTGGACAGGAGTGGAGTTACATTGCCACACAGGGTCCTCTGTCGAACACATGTCAGGACTTCTGGCAGATGGTGTGGGAACAGGGCGTCTCCATCATCGCTATGGTTACTGCTGAAGAGGTGTGTTGATTTTCTGTTTTTTAAAGCTCCACATTTTTGTGTCGTCACTACCTGCACTGACATTTCCAACGTCGTCCGCTTCCTCTAGGAGAGCGGCCGCGAAAAGAGCTTCCGGTACTGGCCCCGACTCGGCTCACGTCACAACACAGTGACGTACGGCCGCTTTAAGATCACCACACGCTTCCGCACAGAGTCCGGCTGCTACGCCACCACAGGGCTGAAGATCAAACACCTCCTGACGGGACAAGAGAGAACTGTCTGGCACCTGCAGTACACAGACTGGCCTGACCACGGCTGTCCTGAGGACTTCAAAGGCTTCCTCAGTGAGTGGGATCAGAGTCACTCTGTCTGTTGCGGTTTTGCTTTTATAATCTGATCTTCACATTAAAGAATGTCTCTGACAAGATGAGTTGGGCATAATGTTCATTGCAACTATCTTCAGGGAAATTGTTTTGCTTCCAAAAACTGTGCCATGTGTTCACCTGTGTTTTCATGCTTCTCCAGCCTACCTGGAGGAGATTCAGTCTGTGAGGAGACACACAAACAGCATCAGTGACCCAAAGAACACCAACCTACCTGTGCTGGTCCACTGCAGCGCTGGAGTGGGTCGGACCGGAGTCGTCATCCTGTCTGAGATCATGATAGCTTGTCTCGAGCACAACGAGGTAACTTCAGAAAAGTGAAATGAAAACATGAAACCTGTGCTGTGACCACTTCTGGTGTATTCAGTCGTCCTCATGTGTCCATCCCCTTCCATTAAAGAAAAGGCAAAACTCACAATATACATATATATATATATAAACTCAAATAACTAGAAACTAGAAAAATTCATAATAAATAAAAAATGTGATAAATGATCCATCCATTATTTATACACTGCTTAATCCTCACTGGGGTCACGGGGGGTGGAGCCTATGTGATAAATTATGATTTAGTGAAATAAGACATTGCTTTTGAATTGTGATCAAAAAGAATAATTTAAAAAGAAACAAAACTGTCCTGGACAAATCAGAGCACTTTGCTGATGAGCAGTGGCTAAAATCCAAACACCTGTCAACAGGTGCAGAAGTCTGACTGAGAGTTACAGAAAACACCTGATGGCAGTGATTGGCTCAAAGTGTTGTTCAACAAAATATTAGTTTGTCATGCTTGTTTGCTTTTTTTAAATTTTTTTTTATTAATATTTCTGTTGAACCACGGTTCAAAAGCAATGTCATGATTTTAATAACATTTTTATTTATTATTACTTATGTTGATTTCAGTTTATTTCAGTGAGTTTTTTTCCTTCTTTAATGGGAAGTTATGAATAAATTTGAGGACGGCTGTATTTTCTTTGCACTGCCGTCTCAGTTTGTTGAGACTAAAATGTCTAAACTTTTTTTTTCCCCCAGACGCTTGATGTCCCAAAAGTCCTGTTGGCGCTGCGGGCTCAGAGGATGATGATGGTTCAGACCTTGTCTCAGTACACCTTCATCTACAAGGTCCTCATTCAGTACCTCCGCAATTCCCGGCTGATCTAATCACAGGCGTCTCGGCGACGTCACATGACAGATAATTGCAGGGTGGGTTTTGCATTTATGCCTGACTGCACTGCACTGATGCAGCTGTTCAAATCTGTTTAAAAAAAAGGAAAAAAAAAAGATTGTGGAAGAAATTTGAACCGTGTTTTAGTGAAGTTTTAAATCAGGCAAAGGCTGAGGGTTTGGCATATACGAGACAATGCCACATGAAGGATTCTAAAGACTTGTGACCTGCCTCTAAACAGTATTATCTATATATATGATTTTTTACATACATTATTGCTTCATAAAGCCCAGCACTTTCACAGTACCTTGCTGTACATAATGAACCAATATTAAGCTGCATTTAGAAAACAATCTATCATAGACGTGCATGGAGAACAGCTGATTTATTTTCATTTGACTACGGACACTTTTTAAGAGATTATTGTGGATTGCTGTTGCTTTATTGGTTCTGATAATGAAGGACTTTTCTCTAGTTATGAAATGAAGGACGGGTTGTTAAATGATGAATGGGTTCATGTGAAGGTGTGATTATAACTGACTTGGATCATGTGACCTGTGGGGGCGTAGATGGGGCTAAATTCTACCACAGACACTGGTACAACTGGTGCACATTAGTTTAGCAATTCAGTGGAGCTGTTTGCATCGTAAGTAGCCAAAAGTGCGCTTCTGTACTCTCGTCTTAAAAGTCCTTATGACCTACCAAACATCTATTTAACGAAGTGAAACAAGATGCTGACAGAGAGGTGGGCGACGATGGCTTGGTCTTTGTAAAACACTGGATTGATGGGAAGTAGAATTGCATTGCACAGGTTTGAGAAGTTATAAAAGAAAAATTGGCAGGTTTCTTTTGGGTTTGGATTAAAACTGGAACATTTATTTTATACATCTGATTTTAATATGTTTTATCTCTCCACTGCTGTATTTGATATACTTTCGACTGTTTTGTCAAAATATGCAGGAAACGCTTCTCATTCAGTGTCATTTATTGCAGTGATCAACATTCCTGCAATAGCGCAGTGATACAAAGAGACAATGACGTCAGTGAATTCAGCTCAGATCCTTAATGCCACGAATGCTGGGCCTTTGTTTCAATCTAAGTGCTTCAGACAAAGATGTAACACGTGGGTATGAACCAGGAGGACGTGCATTCACATGTAACCAGAACAGTGTGCGTCCAGTGTGCTGGGCTTTGCGTCGCCTCTGCTGGCTGCCGTGTTCTGTGTAAGCGTGAAGCACAAAGTCTGATGGACAGATCATCTCCATGTCAGTATTCTGACTGCCTCGCTTGTTTTTCCTCCACTGAGAAATGTCTCTCTGCACAGACACTTCCTACTTAAACAAACGACCTCCTGACTGTTAATGGACACTTTGATAATGGTGTCTGATTGGAGTTGGGTCGAGTCCACGTCCTACTGCTGTTTTAAGTAGTACGTAGGACGAAGTTAATCTGCACAGAAACAATGTTTACAGGCACTACGTTTAGATGGAATCGACGCTTTTCAACTTTGGTAATTAGCCTATTTTTAATTCAAGGTGCCAACTTATAATATGGCCAAAGTGAAGTGACCCTAATTTTGCTTATTCTGATGTTTTGTTGTTGTTGTTGACAAGTTTTTCTTTTCAAAGACGTGGGCTGTGATCTTAACTGAAGAAAAATACATCTTAACTGAAGCTGCAATTTGTTTTTGTGTCTCTTTAAGACACGTGGTTTGAATTTGCTTTAGAGTTTGCGTTTTTGGTTTTTTCTTGTAATGCTCAAGTCTTTGGAGACTGAAAGTGGCTCTTTGTGGCCGAGGTGTAAACGTTTTGTCCATGTACAGCTCTGTTGTTCATAATGTACACAATGTAAAATTTTTTGCTTTAATGACTATTGGTTATTGTACAAACTATGTATAAACTGTATCTATTGAACAAAACATGGTATGCCATTGGAAGAAATATGTGTAGAAACTATTTTCAGCCAAGAATAAGTATTTGGAAATAACTTGTGTCTTCTGTCATTTTCCATCAGTCCATTGTGCCACCTTGTGGTGGATGTTGTCCACTTCACTGACTTCCATCAACATAATGAGCGAGTTTACATTTTTGGAAAATATATTTATTGATTAAAATCAGTGGTAGAAGAGGTCACTATCAAGATATGGTACACAACTTTACAGGAGACTGAAATGTAAAATGTGATGTTTCCTTTCCTAAGCTTTGAGCAGACACTCGGACCCAACACTGGAACTACAATGTGACTGAACAACTGAGACACCATGTTTCAGTCCAGCCGTATTGTGCTCAATGCTAGCAGCAGTTTCACTCCACAACATTAAAACCACAAAGAGGTGAGACGAGTAACACAAACCATCTTGTTACAGAACAGTGAGGGTGCATTCCAATATCTTTACTACATTACACTGTATGCCAGAAAAATATTGAGTAAATCCCAACACACAGTCAAATGTACACACTCAAATTTAATATGGTGGGTTTTGAAGCATGCGGTCCAGCATGCTCTTCTTGCTGTTCTCACACAATCCTCTTCACAGTTACGTCACATGTCAGAGTGTCTCTCACAGGTATAAACAAGCTGTAGCCACTGAGAGCACAGACGACAGCTCATTTCACACTACAGACACCGACAGTCAAAGTTTAAGGTGCATTATTGTTGTGATAAAGCAGTCTGTCGCCATTGTGTGCATGAAATAGTACGTACTTTAAGAAGATAAAGTATGTGTTTTGGTATGCAACCTAAGATCTCGAAAACTGGAAACATGGGCAACACAAGAATCTAAACATCTTGGTGATTTTTAGATGACTGGCTCAAAGCATTTCCAGAGTGGCAGGTCTTGTGGGGTGCTCATGATATGCAGTTTGTTACCAGAAGTGGTCCAAGGAAGGCCAACCAGTGAACCAGAGACAGGGTCATGGGCGCCCACTGCTCAATGGCTGGTGTAGCAGAATCCCACAGAAGAGCCACTGGAGCACAAACTACTTGATACTGGCCATGATAGAAAGGCGTCAGACTGCCTTAACATGACCACATCTAACTCTTCATGGTATTCCCTGATACCTTTTTCTGCTGGTTAAAATGCACCACCACACTTCAAAAGATCCATCAGGAATGATTTGAATAAGGAGCCCGTCTGGTGACATCGATAAGAAATAAAAATAACTCGTTTCCACGCATTAGTAAATTGTGGCCACGAGTTATTAATGCGTGGGAACAACGTAGTTAAGTCGTGGCCTCGCATTACTAGTATGAAGAAACAAGAGAAGTTGTGGAGTAAATTTCACAGTGCGGTCATACCAGCTGTGGATTCAGGATAACGGGTGGACTTGTATGAAACATGGAGCATTTTGATTTGATTTGATTTGAACCTTGGAATGAACGACACCGATATCCTGCGATCTCTTGTGATGAAACACTGTGTGATAATGATGTCGTTTCCACATATTAATAACTGGTGGCCACGTTTTACTAATGCGTGTGAACAAGTTATTTCTATTTCTTATCGATGTCACCAGACGGGCTCCGTATTTGAAGAACATGACAGAGTTCAAGGTGTTGACTTGACCTTTACATTCCCAAATCTAACTGGGAATTTGTGGGATATACTAGAAAAACAAGCCGGATTCAATGAGACCTAGAAGATATAACTAACATTTAGGTGCTCAGGGTTCTTGAGGAATTCATGTCTCAGTGGGTCAGAGCTGCTTTCGTAGCACGAGGACAAACTACAAAATAATCAGCTGATTTTAATGTTGTGGCTGATTGATGTACATTTGCCACATTTCGATTAGTAGAGATCATCTCAGTGATCCTTCAGTTTATCCCAACAGCTTTCGCTCTACAAGCAAAACTTTTAGGGGAATTCATATTTTGTTATGAAGGCAAACAGTGTGTAGTGTCTTTGTCTTGTATTGTCTTTGTTTGCTAAAGATGGACGCCCGTGTCCCAGTACCACGCTATACTTAATCTGGATAGTATTCTGTATTTGGCACAAGCTTTACCATTTGTTTCCAAAACATTCAAAGTAATTCTTGGTGCTCTCAGATGTCTGACTACCATCCATGATTCATTTTAATATTTCACAATTGTAAGTCCGTCCCTCGTTTCCTTCAGCGCGGTCGGATCATAGCATATTTCATTTTGTCACTATTCCAGCATTTACATACTCACAACCTGCTGGGACTCAGTATGTTGTCTGGATTTGGAAAACAGCTCCAATACGGCTCGATGCGCATGTTGAGTTATTTGTGCCACTTTTGCACAACAGTTCATGTATTGACAGTTATGTTCACTAATAACGATATTGAAAAAAACTAAATGAAACACTGATAAAAGTAAAATCCAACTACAGCTTTATGATCATCCCAAAGAGGAAGATTTGCGAGTTTTTCACCAGATAAATGAGTTTTCTCCCTCCAGAGAAAACACAAACAATAGGATTGAGTTCACTGGAAAAACTACATCTGGATCGCTTTTTAAAAAAACACAAACACTTGAGAAAAATCTGAAGAAGTTAATACTGGTACCGTCCTTTCTTGCCTCCGTGTCCTCCATATCCACCATGTCCTCCATAATCTCCATGTCTATTGTGTCCTCCTTGGTTCCATCCTCCACCACCTCCTCCTCCTCCTCCTCCTCTCCAACCACCTCCACCACCTCGTCCTCCTTGTCCCCATCCTCCTCGTCCTGAACCACCTCGTCCTCCCCATCCACCTCCTCCTCCACCATCTTGTCTTTTCTGCCAGGGCGGCATCTCAGGAGGCGGCGCTTGTATCTCTGACGGACGTCCTCCCCGGTCCGGTACTCTTCCCATCAGGATCTGTGGAGAAGAGAAACATGTTGTCTATGAAGAAAACTATCAAATTAAGGTCTTTCATTTGAACTTTTCAGAATCAGAATCAGAAATACTTTATTGACCTCTGAGGGGAAACGCTTATGTCACAGTTGCTCTCATTTAACGTCTTAGAAATATAAACAGTACAAAAAATATACAGATAAACATAAGTAAGAAAATATATCCTAAAAATATAAACACAAGTAGAAAAAGTACAAGCATAAAATGTAAAATGTGCATTTTTAAAAAAAGATATAATGTATGTCCTCATGTAAACAATGGCTTGGCTGATTGAAAAAGTATTTATATATAAGCAAAAGCAAAACTCTCTCCATCAACATGTAAGAAAGGGAACAGCTTAATAAAGTTGCTAACAATAAATAGTCAAACAAGATCAATAAGAAGCTAAAAGTAGCAAAAAGTAGTAACAGGCTGCATGCACGGTGACGCACACACACTCAAGGTTTAGTGTGATTTTATTTGTTTACTGCACCTTGTTGACAGCACAGGCAGTCTTTTCTCTGCTGGAGCCACTGCTGGTTTTCACCACGTTGCAGATGTCCTCTCTGGCAGCCAGAAGCTCAGCCATGTCCACTGTGGACTGTGGCCTCAGAGAGTGTCTCTTTGGCTGGTAGGCTCTGGCCATGCTGTCCACCCTCACCTTCAGGCAAAATAAATAAATAAAAAATGCAAAATGTTAAAATTTTCCAGGCATGATTACAACTCGGGGTTCTTATCAGGCTGTTTCACAACTATTACACACCCAAAAGCTTCTACCACAAGTTGCACACTCTTCAGTTTAGTGAGACAATACAACAGTTTGTCGATCACACGGACATACCTTTGCTCGGTCTGACCACCCAAATGACTGAACCGTGACGTCCAGGCGTTTGATCAGCATCCTGCGGCGACACTCGTACTCTGACGACAGAGCTGTGTTCATGTTCTGCAGCTTCTCCTGCAAACACAAGCAAGCACGGAGTGTTAGAAATCTATACCAATCATGACACAAAGCAGCTGCAGATATACAAACTGATACGGATTCGTAGATGCTCAGACATTTAGATGTTCATCTACGTACCCACTGTTCACTGCTGAGAGGCTTCTTCAGCACTGGGTTTCCAATGGAGGCGTTAGGAAGATCTGCAAGTAGTTTTTCAACCTACAGTGACACAGATGGTATGAATTTGACAGAGCGTACATGCTTTAATACACCACTTTGTGCTGTCTTTTATTATTTAGAATCCTTTAATGTGAGCTTTCAAAACTAAACAACTAAAATGATGAATGGATTCTCTTATTTTACAATTATTCTTATTTACAAACATCCACGTGACTAAGAGTGAAGTGCATTGGTAATTAAACTGCAAAAACTGCGTAAACGAGTGGAGGGTCTCCTTAAGTTTAAGAATCAAGACATTCGTTAAATGTTACAAACTTGTGCAGATGGTATGTTTCACATTAAAGAATGGTATTTATGGAAAAGATCTTTTTAATGCCTTAAAATGTATTTATACAGTTGTTGTACATTTGAGTGCTGTGTTGATATACTTTTGCCGCAATATGTTCAAATCAGAATGTACGGTGGAGTTTTACTGACTAATTCATTGGCATGTGACGGATCAGATCCTCGACCAAAACCTCACAGGACGAGTTATGAACAGCCTCACCTTGTTTTGCACTTCAGAGAAAACTTCTCCTGCGTCCTGTCCTCGGGGTTCTGACAGTTTGAGTGTTTCGCAGATCACGTGAAGCTCTTCACATGCTGGACTCTTGTCTTGTTTCTCACAGACTCGCTTGCTCCTCACAATCTGAGCCGCCTGGAGCTCAGAGCTCAGAAACACTACGAAACAGGAAAAACAAAAACCAGAAAAATCTCATTCTAAAGTTCCACACAGAGAGTTTGTAGCACAATGACTGGACTAATCGGACTGACTACGTACAGACGAACTTGAGATGCTCTTTTGTACTTCGCACACTGCCCTTGAGAATCCCTGAGACCACTTCTTCATAAGGACAGTGCAACTCCTTCAGCAAACCGCTCATCTCCACCTGGAGACTGTCCATGTCCTCTACGGAACAGAGAAAGAAAAAGGTTGAACGTGGAACAAAGATTAGACACAGTTTGTAGATTGAGATTTGAGTGCATGTGGCCCACCTGGTCCTGAAGCGATGCTCTCCTCCAGGTCGCACAGCGGCTGCAGCCTGGATGACAGCCACCGGCAAAGGTCCACATACTCGGGGGAGGACAGGCCTCCGTCTGCGGCTCTGAGCAGCGCCTTCTCATCCAGCAGAGGGCCGTCATAGCTGAGAATAAAGATGCGCAGAGTAAGCTTCACATCCACCCAGGTGACAGACAGAGGTGCTGTATGAAGCAGCCACTTTCCTCTTTAAGAACACTGTTTTCATACTGGAAACATGCGAAGCTACACCGTTAGCTCAACATGCTAACAGTGAGCTAGCTTACCCGAGCTGCTCTAACGAGTCCAGAATGTCGCAGTCCATCGCTCAATCCGGGACGGCTTCTGTTCTTTTATTATTACTATTTTATTTAAAACATGACGACACATAAACACAAACAGCTTCAGCACCCATTCATTTCTCCGCCGCTCTCATGCCTTCGTTGTGTTCCGGTTCACTATATGAGCCGGAGGGAAACATGGCACTGTAGGAACGAGGGTTCCGCGACTATAGTTCCGCTCTAATAAAAACTACGAAAGTGAACCGGCTCGAGTTAAAGTTGAATTTTAGCTCCTGAAATCCCTGTAAGGTGTATTTAGGTATAAAACTCACATGCTTGTGTATGTGCTGTAAATGAATGGACTACTGTCGGCTGTTATCAGCTGATGTTAAATATAAATGATATATTAATACGGACAGTACACTGAAATAAAATATAAATGCTTCATGCTGATGATCTTGTTTTCTGACTTATAGAAACAGTAAGTTGTGAAATGTTTATCGTTCTTGTTAGAAAAAGGTTCAATTGAGCCAACTGTGTACATCTGATGACAAACTCTAAACCAATAACTTTTTAATAGTGATACCAGTGACTATGAAAGGCCACCTCATACAGATACATTCTGACTTATTGATGACATAATGTCTAAAATGTAAATAAAATAAAAAGCACCCAGAATGATGAAAAGTAATGAAGCACATTCAGTCAAGTTGTGTAACATTAAAGTGCTGCCTGTCTTTTAATGCATCAGTGATAATGATCCTCTTATATATAAGATTCTGACAAAGAAAAAGTCCTCCTAGATAATAACGACTACTTTTAGATTTGACATTTTGAACACAGGATTTTTAAGAATAAGAATTGATACTTTAAAAACAATAATCTCTTTGCCGTGGCTTGTACAGGTCCACATAGAATAAAAGCACTTGTAATCAGCAATATACACACAGGGTTGTTTGTAATGGCCTCTCCATAAATACATTCACACATTTAACCAATCCTCTCACTTCTCTGAAGCCTTTGGAGATGATTTATTTATTTATGGTTAAATTCTGATGAACCATAATCCTACAAACATATTTAACATGCAAAGACTACCAACTGGGGTCCCAACAATAAACTAGTATAAGAAACAATCAAAGTGAAATATTAACTCTTTCATTTTCAAAACATTAGAAGTCATGTAATTAGTGTCATCTTGGGGGAAAAAAATCATTATATTATAACAGTTACAACCATTTTAAAATGAGTTTTAGTCATTAAAAGCTCATTAACTTAGTACTTAGGTTCAAGTTGCCAAAAAAAAAACCCAGGACTGATGTTGTATGAAACCCTATTACAGAGAGAATCCAGATTTATTACAAAACACATGTTAAAGCTTTGAGAATTAATCTTTTGTTACATCCTGGTCATCTTCTGACTACATATCCATCAGACACATGACACACATTCATGGTATTATCTTACATAATAGAACACTAATATTTTATTTGAATGTCATAAACCATTTTAGCATGAAATTATATGTAGTATTTCAAAATGATTGTCAGAAGAGCAGCATGTAGGGTTTTCAGAGCAGCGTATTGAGGAAATCGGTGTCTGTTCCTCGTGTGTAAGACTTTCAATTAGTTTATTTTGAAATGGACATCAAATAGTTCCACCTAATTAAACTTCATGGGCGGAATTGGGTACTTTTGACTGAGATTCAATATGTTTGTATTTCTAAAAAGCACTAATTAAAACAGAAAACAATGATGTGAAGTCATCCTAAATAAAGTGTTTGGCGTTGTCATTGGAACAACAGAATAAAGCAGCTGTAAGATATGATAAAAATTCTACCTGAGGGGTCTGCAGGCTTCTCATATTCAGTCAGATGAAGGTTAAAGCAGCCTCGGCTTTTACACATCAGCACCAGTGATGAAAAATGGAAAATTAGCTGAAGATTTCAGGACTTACAGTCTTATAATTGTTTACTCTGGTGTGAACACCGACTGATCAACTCAAAGAAACACGATCAAGTCTACACAACAAAAGATTAAAACTCACCATTTTATTATGATAATGTTATTTGATATGTCAAATTACAAGTGTATGATGTAACATAAAAACAGTTACAAACATATGTATGCATATTTACATTATATATTTATGAAAAGTAACAAGCTACATCTGTATAAAGAAAATACAACTATGACATGAGTTATTGGTACTATAAATTTTACATCAGATACTTGGTATTCTCGAACCGTGATAAGAAATACCTAGACGTGTAGAAACCAATAAAACCAGAATGATAGATGTTAAAATTGTAAGATGGAAACTAGGATGGACGTGAGGCACTTTTTTGAGGTTGTCAGGATGTGAAAGCCGATGGCACTAAGAAACTTAAGGGGGGGAGAAAAAAAAGATGCACAGGAAAAGAAATATGCACAAAGAGAGAGAGAGTGAAAGGAAGAAAGAAAGAAAGAAAACAGGCAGTGTTTACAGAATAGTTAAGAGTAGTACCATTTATACTGCAAGTTTCAAAACACAAATGTCTTCCACTATTTAGAACTAATCACATAAATGTTACATCAAGCGCTGTAAGATGAAAAAAAAGCTTACATATAGTATCATCAGTGCACCAAAGCATTGGAGAATTGAAACATAACCACTCAACTGCTGTGAAAAGTAACCTTTTAAAACAATACACTGAAGAGAAACAGGTTTATATAGCTTTTTTCTTTTTTTAATCTACACAATGTCAAGAATGTACACTTGTATGCATTCCCAAAGATATGCACAATTTCCAAGATTGAAAGAGGATAAAAGACTAGCAGCAAAGTGGTTAAAACTGAAGTCTTATATAATGCAGGTCAAAAAAATATATATATTAAAGCGGACAGACACATGTTGCATATATAATACAGTACATGACAGGAAGTTGCACTGTGCTGGTTAATGCAGAATGAGAAGTGTTATTTCAGCATTCTCTACACTTTGTATAAATGCACGTCCTACATTTTGCTTCTCAGCCAGCAAGTTTTAATCAGGTTCATCTTGCAATAATGCAGGGCCATCCGATTACAATGGGAGAATATGACAACCAACCAAAACATTTGGTTACACACCAACCCCGCACGCACACCGCCAGCAACCTGGAAACTGACATACATACAGTACGCTGACACACACTCGTGGGCACACAAGAGAACGCACATATATAGAAACACTCACGCACCCACACACATGCACAAGTGTCCACTTCATCACGCAGAGCAATCGAACATTTAAAAACTGACTGTCGCTGTTATATGCTGTTGGAGAGTTAGGATTTAACAGTCGTTCATAGCTGATTTTCTCTGTCAACACAATAAAATTAGTGATTGTATCTAGCAGCTTTTATATGTATGTATGTATATATTTATATATCAAACTTTAGAAACAAGTGGACTGCCACTACTGTACCGTGTTAGCACTATCCTTCCTTCTACCGTACAAAACTAGAGAGAAACTCTATTAGAAGCTCAATAGTCATTTCCATCACAAACGCCCTCTACTTTTCAATGTGAAATAATACTAAAAGGTGACCTATGTACAAAATGCTGTCATTTGAAGCTACAGTATATGCTGACAGCAACGATAAATACAGCTCTATCTTTAAAATTTCAAAGACAAAAAAAGCTGGGATTATTATCAGTACTTAAATATAGTGTTACGTATTTACAGGTGTTTGGAGTTTGGTACCAGGGCTTGGTTGTCTACCTATATAGAAGTTAAAGTGTCCTGTCCCGTCACTGACTCAGTCTGCAGAGAGGTCAATGTGTTTCCCACGTTACAAAGTTTGCATAGAAAGTAAAGGGAGCATTGGTCAGGGTGGAATTAGGAAAATGAATGTTCCTCCTGTACTCACATCGAGACTGAGGTGCCACGACACCTTTTTTTTTTTTTTTTTTAAACTTTTTAAACTTGGAGTGACAGGAGGTGAAAAAGATGCATATCTGTTAGTGACAGCATTTGGATGTTGTACCAAATCTGCTTTTAAAAACTGAGGTGTTTTACAGTTAGCACTAATTTAAAACAAGTCAATGCCTTAGTTAGGGAGCGTTTCAGTTATTGCAGCCAAACTGAACTGTTATTCCTGCAGGGACTTTGCTCTAATCCAAGTGTTATTCAGAATAACTGGAGTCAGTAATGGTTCACTAGAATTTTCTGCTCTTCTGGGAGGGTATTGTGGTATAACACAGTAAGACTCTGCAATAAACAGTCCACCTAGACCCCGTTTCCCAAAGCATTTTCATGGAGTAGTTTGACATTTGGGGAACTGCCCTTATTTGCGTTCTTAGCAGGAGTTAAATGAGCAGATTGATCCCACTCTTAGGTCTGTTTGTTAAATATGAAGCCGCAGATAGAAGCTGGCTAGCTTAGCTTAGCATACAGACTGGAAACGGAAGGAAACAGCTAGTCTGCTTCTGTAAAAGTAATCCATCTGGCATCACCTCTAGAGCTTGCTAATTATCACATTATAGCTTGTTTGTTTAATCGAGTGTAAAAGTGACACGTTTTACAGGGGGTGATGTGTGGGACTACTTTTTGGCCGGGCACCACGACTTCCTGGAGTCTCTCATGGTGACAACAGGACTCCAGGAACTCACAGTACCCATCCAAGAAATAGCTCCACACATAACCCCCTGTAAGTACACAAACTGTTGTTTTTTTCTCGCCCTTTTTTTTAATGAATTCAACAAAGGTAATATAGCATGCTAATTAATTAGCTTCAGGAGGCATTGGCACTGGGATTCGGTTCTGTCTGAACAGAGCCAGGCTAGCTCCTTTTTCACCTTCTGCCGTCAGCTTTCATATTTAGCGTACAGACACGAGTGGAATCAATCTTCTTCGTCTACCTCGGCAAGAAAGCCAATAAGTGTGTTTCATTTCTGTGTTCACTTAGAAGCCAACAGTCAAGACACTTTGAGAAACAAGACGCTGGAAGTACTGTTATGAGTCAAAACCTTAATTGCACAGTCAGTGCTGACGTTACATGACATGAAACCACCTGTGCATAAGAAGACCTATGCACACACACACACNGTTTGGTCTCAACCAATGTTGATCCCAAATTATCTGTTAATGAAAGGAATTTACAGATTCAGCCTAAAACCTTCTGATCTGTTCACAGACTGATTCCAATAATATCAAACATGTTTGATATTTAGGAAACTGGTTACGATTATCACACTACCAGTGGACACTGTTACCAAGCAACGGTAAAACTTCAAGCCCTTGAGGCTAATTTTAGCAACACATTTTGAACTGTCAGTTTTAAAATACACACATACAAAGTAAGTACAGAGCCAGGCTAGCTGGCTTTATGCTAAGCTAAGCTAACCAATTGCTGGATGTTGAGATGAAAGTGGTATCAATCTTCTCATCTAAATCTCAGCCCAAAAAAAGCCAATAAGCACATTTGCCAAAATGCCATACTTTTGACTACTCTTCCTCCCAGCTTCCAAGATGCTTTATAGAGAACCATCAAGTCACAGAGAGTGAGTGAGGTTGTAAGAGTCAACTGGCCAACAAAACCAATGTGTACAAAACTGATAAGAGAAAACTTCCTGCCAGTGCTAAATTAGATGCGGATGTTTTCCTGTGGCATTCGAAAGAAAAAAAAATATAACACACACACACACACACACACACACACACACATAACATCTGTATGTTTGTTTTTTTATATATATATATGTAGCTAAGATACTCAGCATCCCTAAAACAACGCATTCATTCATTCAGGGCCTGTTAAATGAAGACACATGGAAGGAGTGGACTAATTTTTGAGGAACAATGTAATACTACATTTACACAGCATATGCAGGGAACATAAAGATAACAAAAATAAACAAAAGGATTCATGGGACAAACATAGAAATTTGGAGAGGGTGCTGCAACCAAAGCTTGGAGAGCAGTGCTTTAAGGAGGGGTTTCCTCCATGCCAAACGAGATGTTAAATTAGTTCAATTTATGTACAGATGAATTGCAAAATCTGAGGGTTTCTCATCTAAAGAATAGCCTAATTTAAGTGCCTCATTATTTCACCAAGGAGCACTGTAACCCCTTACGTCACCAAAGCAAAACTTGCTGGTTGAGCAACATTTCAACCTTTGATTCAAAACTAATTAGAAAAATGAGCAGGAAAAATAACAATGAAGAAACAAAAACATCAATTTCACTACAGCAGTAAATAACTGGACTAAAACTGAGATTCACTGAAGTAAATGAAATTGTCCTGTATTGGTTTCAATTCAAATGGTTCAAGAGGTTCTAATAATGCTGTTTTCTTGAGGTGGTAATATTGTTTTTGGGGAACTCGTCATGGTAAAGTCATTACCATTTTCCCTTCTAATCATGGAATCGATCCCTTTATTTTGGAATGCAGTCAAATGGTCTAAAATCACCTCAGGAAGGCAAGATAATAACTTTAAACATATTTTAAATCAAATTTAAAAGCTATGTCAAACTGTACCTTTAAAAACAAGCTGTTACTATTTGATTTTTCTTAAAAACATTTGATGGAAAGGAAATCAATTGGCCATACATCCTCCACAGCAACATCTCTCAAATTTTAAGATTACACTAAACATGGTGGTTTATACACCACAAGAATTTGAGAGGGTTACCTTTACTCAGGGTGAATATCATTTCTAGTGCACTTTTCTCTGTCTAGTAATTACATTGTCAGCAAATGCTTAAGCCATGAAGGAAAGGCCACTGTTACCCAACTGCAAATTCACAAAAAAAGCAAGAACATATCCCTTTTAGCATACTCAAACAGCAAGAACTTTTTTTCTCAACGCAGAATAGTTGTGTTTTCTTTTTTGTCATTAAGTTGTCACTCTCTGTACAAAAGACAATTTTCCTTCATAAAGTTACACATTACTTGTACTAGAGTTCTGATATTTGTGGCCTGGCTTTGTCGATGTATGAGTGTGAATGTGAGAGAGGTGTGTGTGTGTGTGTACAGGTGTGTGTAGTAACATCTCCAAGTCTGTTAATCATGACGTCTCCTCCTTCTCTTCTCCTCAGATTAAGCTCCTGAACTTAGCTTGATGCTCAGAGCCCCCACAAAGCATATGGTTTGTCCTCCACTGCTGCTTGTCGGCGACAAACACAAACTGAAATCTCCAAAAGCCCTCAGAGCTGGGGATCAACAACATATCACCCCGTCTGAGAGGGGAATGAAAAAAGGATGCCGGCTTTTAATTTTCCGCTTTTATTCACTTCCTTTGTTAGCTAGCTTTGAGGGTGTCCCAGTGTCCGGCGTCGGGTCACCCCGCAGCCTTGTGCTTGCCCCCACAGCAGCGGCAGGCCTCGCCACAGTGGTGGCAGGCGCGCAGAGGCAGGTAGCAGCACATGCAGGGCGCAATGAAGGAGAGCGCCACCAGGGCCAGCCAGCGCAGACAGAACTGCTCGTCAGATGTGTCACATGAGCAGGGGTCTGAGAAGTCACCCTCCGAGTCAGACATGCAGTGATACAGCATGCTCTCGGCACATAGCATGCAGCTGACTTTGTAGATGCACTGCTTAATGGGGTCGGGGGCGTCCTGGCACTGCCCCCGCCAGTTGTCTTCGTGGTTGAACATCTCCCGACAGTAGATGCAGCGCGAACGCTCACCGTCCTCTCGTCGCCGACGGCCCTTCTTAGACTTCAGCAGGGGCGACGGCTGAGTCTTGATGGCTGTGTCCTTGCCCAGCCCCAGCCCCATACCTGTTCCAATGCCCATACCAGGGCCAGAGTGGGAGTCCCCACCGGGGCCATCGGGGAAGAGGTACTCGCACTTCTTACTGTCCAGTTTGTGAAAGCCGGTGGGGAAGTCCAGGTCCTCACGGTCGGCCTCTTGTTTCCACATGACAGGGTGGCGGTAGTCCTCGTACCCGCGGATGAACACGTCTTTGCGTGGGTTGATGCGAACAATCTCCTCTTCGTCCATGCGAAAACTGACACGGCGAGTCGACTTAAAGGAGAAAGGAGAAAAACCGGGAATTAGCTTGATTGCTCAACAACAAAGCAATACTTTGTGGTCGTACCTACACACACAAAAAAAGGATTTTATTGAAAAACATGCATCTCACAAGCTATATATGTTTGGTTGTGTGGAGGAGAGGCAGACCTGTGGAGGCAGGTAGCGGCGGTTGCTGGGGGGGAACTCGTCGAAGGGCTGGGCGCGGACGTAGCAGCCCCTGAATGGCTCGGTGGAGACAACATTGTTCAGTGGTGAGAAGGGCTCTTTCATTGGGGTGCAGATGGAGGGAGGCTCATCACACACCTGGAGACACACAGAATCAGGTAAGTATGCAAAATAGCCCTGATCATATTTGAAGGAAACATTAAACCATCTAGAAATCAAGAAACTCTTGGGACACATCAAAGGAAAATCACACATGTGTACAATCAAACAGCTGATTAAGCTATTACTTAATTGAGAAAAGTAATGGTTTTAAACCCTAAAGATATGACAATACTTTTAAGGTTTTTGTTAAACCGTCACAGCATCTAGAAACAAATTAAAGATAGCTGTTCAGCCTCTAGGTACCATGAAACGTTTCTGTGAATTCAGATATAAAAGCATATAAACAGTGTGAATACACAAGAGTTTCAGCCCAAAACATTTGTCAATCGCACATTCTGCATTACTATTTCAATGTCAAAACCACTAACGGTTAATCAATTCAGTTTTCATGACCACAACAGCTTTGACTCAGGGTGTGTAGGCTGTGTGTGTTCTACTTTAACCACCAGGGGGCATCCTGCACCCACGCTTGGCCAAATGACTGCTGTGTGGTGATGACTCAAGGCCCTTCTGTTAAGAACTCTGAGTTCCCATCAGCCTTGCATGTGTTCCCACAAACATTTTAACTGATGCAAAATCTACAGACATGGATGGACCTAAAAAAAAAAAAAAGGGCTCTTGAAAAATGGAAATAAAAAAAGAGAGAAAATCGTTGGAAACCAAGCAAGACAAAGTGAATGTATGCAAACATTCCTTCCACCTCGCGCCAACTAATGTCATAATTACAAGAGAAAAGCTCACTGTTGACATCAATCACGATGAGATGTCTATAAATAACATCTTGTGAATGCCACAGATGGCATCAAATAAAGAGAAAATATTTCTACACATCTACAGAAATGAAATAAATAGAAAAAAATCCAAGAGAAATGGCCTGATACTTCAGTGCTCATAGCAACAAAATCGAAAGCAATGGCGATTTCATGATTCATGCGTGCAGAGGTGATGAGAGATGGAGGAGGATAGTCATTTATTACATTAAGAGCCTTGTGATGTTTTGTGCGGTATTATTTCAGTGCAACCGTCTTCACAACTTCCAGTTAGTTCATGTGCTGAACACGACAAGCATGAAAACTACATGAAAATAACTAGAACTGGTGTTGATTGAATCCAAAGCATAGTGTGCTGATGTGTAATTGTTTCTTAAACAATCAAATAATAGCACTTTTTATATTCATCTAAAAACTAAGGTCTGAAAATGATCCAAATAAACTGGTTATTTCTCTCTTTAAGTCCCACTCAAAAACACACAAACACGGATGAGCACATGCTGAGGTATCTTCACACAAGTTCGATCCAACCATATTCAAGCCTTGTACACACTGGCTAACTGTCCCTCTTTTCCCACACACATCCCGACCTCATCAAGGCAGGGTTAGTCCTCCTCTCTTCTCCTTCTCCCACCCTCTCTCCCTCTCTCTTCTCTGCGTGTGGAGGAGGCTGCTGGCTCTGGTTAGTCAGTGCCGTGTGTAAAGTAGCCCACGCCAGTGCTTTAACGCACAGCGGAAATCTGGTTTGCTCCCAGCTGCTGCTACAGTAATTACTGTCCTGTGGTTGCTAAGAGATGCTTCCTTTGACTTCTTTTTTTTCCCTCTCTTTCTCTTCTTCCCCCCTCTCTGTCTTACACCCCCCACCCCAGACTGCTAACACATGGTGTGTGTATGTGTGCGACTTTGCTCCTTCTTTGCCTCCAAACATACCAAGTGGTGTAACACACATCCACAGCGTCTGCAGGGGAATGTGAGGAATAGAACACAGTGGAGGGAGAGGGAAGAGAAAGAACAGAACAGGAAAAAATGAGATTGTGTTGTATTCATGTGTGCGTCTGTGTGTGAGAGAAAGAAAGGGAGAAACAGAGAGAGCGCGAGAGGCCAAAGAGTCTGCCGAGGGAATGTCATAAACCAGCTCCAGCTGGAGAAATGCAGCACAGAACTTAAAAAGCCAGATGACAGCTGTGTGTGTATGTGAGAGAAAGAGAGAAAGGAGGCGAGGGGTGGAGAGGTGGGGGGCGAAATGGGAAACAGACTTGGGCTTCCTTTTAAAGCGCTTGCCTAAGCCCCACCATTCAAAGGCATGCGTGGGGGCCAATCTGGAGCTGATCTGACCCTAGAGATGTGGCGGGGTGAGGGAGGAGAGGAGAGGAGAGGAGAGGAGAGGAGAGGAGAGGGAATGGAGGTGGTGGGAGCCAGGGGCAACCTGGCTCCACACCAACATCAGGGATCCGTGCACTTCCGCCCTCAAAGGCACAGGGGTTCAGGACAGGGAAAGCTGGGGTCGGCCCACATACTAAAAACCTTGCTCAACGCACCAGCACTCTGCATTATTGAAAAGACTGGAGAAGCAAAAATGATGTGCACGCTGGGATATTTGAATACAAACATAAAATGGTTTGCATGTGTATAAATATTCCTAACACTCTAGAAATCACGAGTGGTGCTTATTTCTGGATCTTGCCAACCTAAAAAGAAAAAAAGAAGTACAGCCAAGTCATGTATCCCTTAAAAGAACAATTTGACATTTAGATAAATGAGATAACTTGCTTTCTTCCCAACAGTGAGATGAGAAGATTAATATTACTTTCGTATTGGGATGCCAAACACTAAGTTACAGCTAGCACCCCATTAGCTTTCTTTAGCATCATAACATGCAACAGAAGAAAATGGCTAGCTCGCCCTTGTTCATCAGTGTTAGCAAACTCTAGGCTGGACACTCATGTTCCTGGAGTTTTGGGCCGGTTTACTCCTTCAATCCTTCTGACAACTGGAGGAGAAATCTGGTCTGAGAGTTTGGTCTCAACCAATGTTGATCCCAAATTATCTGTTAATGAAAGGAATTTACAGATTCAGCCTAAAACCTTCTGATCTGTTCACAGACTGATTCCAATAATATCAAACATGTTTGATATTTAGGAAACTGGTTACGATTATCACACTACCAGTGGACACTGTTACCAAGCAACGGTAAAACTTCAAGCCCTTGAGGCTAATTTTAGCAACAGATTTTGAACTGTCAGTTTTAAAATACACACATACAAAGTAAGTACAGAGCCAGGCTAGCTGGCTTTATGCTAAGCTAAGCTAACCAATTGCTGGATGTTGAGATGAAAGTGGTATCAATCTTCTCATCTAAATCTCAGCCCAAAAAAAGCCAATAAGCACATTTGCCAAAATGCCATACTTTTGACTACTCTTCCTCCCAGCTTCCAAGATGCTTTATAGAGAACCATCAAGTCACAGAGAGTGAGTGAGGTTGTAAGAGTCAACTGGCCAACAAAACCAATGTGTACAAAACTGATAAGAGAAAACTTCCTGCCAGTGCTAAATTAGATGCGGATGTTTTCCTGTGGCATTCGAAAGAAAAAAAAATATAACACACACACACACACACACACACACACACACACACACACTTTACTTTGTACTTGCGGAAGGACTGTGGCGTAGAGCATAATTCCTGGCAATGGGTCATCACAGCTGAGTAGGGTGTTGTGCAACCACTTTTCTTTATGGGTAAAATATGTTGCATGTGTATAGTGAGTGAGTGTGTGTGTGTGTGTGTGTGTGTGTGTTGTGAGTGTATTTTTGAGTGTGAGGAAGAATGTGGTGAGCCTGTGAAGGGCATACATGTGGGTGCTTAGCCTCAGTGGGCAGGATGTGGGTGGAGAAGACCATCTTCAATGCATATACAGCGACGCACGCACACTAGCGCATGAACAAATCTGCTCACACATACAACAATGTAAACTAACATGAATTCCAGTACATTTTAATACCAAAAGACTCTCAGAGATGTTTGAGTCCAGTCAAGGATTTAAACAAGGCTTGATGATGACCTCCCATACTGATGTGACTCTGGTATGTCACAACTACTACAGGCAGATCTGCTTCCAAAGGCCCCGCCAATAGCAAAAAACTAGGCCTGACAACACATGGTATGTTTTTTGTACACACTATGTATCTGTACAAACAGTGGTGTGACTCCATGATGAACCATCAAGCAGCTCAGCTAATGTCACACCTTGTTGTGTGGTGGTATTTGCTGGTTCTCTGGCTGCAGCACTTGCCTCTGGTTCACTTCTCTTTCTCTGTAGCCCAGGTCTCCGACCGCAACATTCGGATGCCAAATCACCATGGTGACACCCTCGGTGGCTCACTGAACCTTGTGAACACCCCCCTTCTACCCCTCTCTGGCTGCACCCCACCCCCCCACCCCCCCTGCCTAGCAACAGTGGTGCCATTGGATTTCCTGTATGTTCGGGCTGATTCCTTAAAGAGGAACTTCGCCACAGGAACAGGAACGCAGCTCTCCTTCTTTGGCTGCTCTTGTAGGCCCGGATCATCCAGTCAGAGGTTATGACAAGCCTCTGGAAAGCGCAATGAAGTCGTAGCTAGAAACTATTTTCACATGAGCTGCTTTACGATGTCAAAAATAAGGTCATAAGGACAGCGTGATGCAGTGTGGGGCATTTTCAATGAACAGAGTAGGCAAAAACTATAAACACCAATGCAATACAACGGCCCTGCAATAAATACTTGTTGAGGCTACTATTTTAGCTGTTTGCACATCGACTCAATTCTGTAGTACCGTTTGAGGTTGTACTATATTGTGACCAGAGTTGAATCAACGTGTGTTTCACCAAGGACTCATTTAATACAGTTCTGTGAGGTTGGATTGCTTCACAGTGCGTAGAGGTTTCTATATTTCTTGTCACTAGGTGTGCATTACAGCCCTTGCTTCCACTAACTTTTCACCTACTTTGCAATCATAAATAGAACAGGTGACTGACTTTCCTGTAAAAGTCCTGATATCTAAAACAAATTAACATGGGTGTGTTGGTTTGAACTATATAACTGCTGCCTTTCTTCCTTAAAGAGAACACGACATTCTTAACAGCACGCTGACAGTCAAAATCATAGATAGACAGATAGACAGACAGACAGACAGACAGACAGACAGACAGATAGACAGATAGACAGATAGACAGATAGACAGATAGACAGATAGATAGATAGATAGATAGATAGATAGATAGATGGACAGATGGACAGATGGACAGATGGACAGATAGATAGATAGATAGATCTTTATTGACCCTTTGGTAGAACCTCAGGGAAATTATTGTCCTAGCAACAACAACACAACATTAGTAATAATAATATAGTAATAATAATAATAATGATGGATATAGTAACAAAATTGCCAAAGTGCCTAAATATTCCACACAGTCCGGTGATAGAGCATGAGGCTCTCTCTCACCCCAATGTCCTCACTCCTCACCCCTCGCTCCCCACCTCTCCCCGCTTGCCGCTCCTCCCCCTCCCTAGGATTATATATGTATATGAGAACAGTGCAAACGTTTAATATAATGTCAGCAGGGAGGTGACAGCTTGTCCAGAATTTAACTTGCAGCATTTAACAACAACCCTAAACATGTACCCAGTGGAATAAAGAGCCATCTTTAAAGACAAGAGGAACAAGGAGTCCTGCAACAGATGGAAAGCTGTCAAGAAGACAGTCTGGGACTACACACAAACAGAAGCAACTCAGACAGCCTCAATGCACAGAAGAACTGTAGCAAGTTCTCCAAGATATTTGGATCAACCTGTTAAGTACCTTGAAAAATGTGCACAAATGTACTTAGGAGAACTGTTGCTGTTTTAAAGGCGAACGGTGGTCACAGTTTGATGAAGTATGTTTCCTCAGGTTGGAGAAGATCAAAATCACAATGCACATGAATCCACCTGTTAACAACCAGCCCCTCAGGCAATATTATACCAACATCAATCCAAACAAGACTGACAGCTAGTACGTTGGATTCATAGAGACAGCTACGCTTGCTCTATCACATTTGCTGGCCAGCACCCAGCTTCACCTCAGGGTCTGGCTGGCACTGGTTAAACACCTGTAAATCTCTAAGAACAACTGTTAGAAAACAAAGGCAGTTGTCAGCACCTGGCTGGGACGCATCAAGCCTCAAGCACATGGCTCAAGTTCTAGCCATGACCTGCCTTCTCTTTAAAAGTGGGACAAAAAATGGAAGAACTTCACTCCTCAAAGTCAGTAAAACAAACTTGTGTATGGTGTGAAAATCGCACATTTACTTCATACAACATTTGTTATCCACAAATTCTTAACTGTGCTCTCACTTACCGGTAGTCCATCCTCAGGAGTATCCCCTTCTCCAAACGGCCGACAACCTGGAAGAGACGGGGAACATAAATAAGAAAAATATTTCAAGACTGTCTTGATCATTTCATGTACTTAAATCAAGACAGAGATAATAGGTTTTGGACATTACAAAATCTGTACAATAGCATATAATCACTGCAGTATTTTAGTGTCTTAGATATATACATTTGATTCCCAAAAGAATGGAAAGACTTGTTTATGGAACTTTACCACTAGAGGGCAAAAAACTCATAGAACTCCAGTATCCAGTACATTCACCAACTTCCTTGTACAAATGCATGCAACCAACAACAGCTACATATCTCAGAATGTGTGTTTTTCACACACACACACACACACACACACACACATATATATATACACACACATATAACGGTTCCACTGTCAATGGATGCCATCTCCACTGCTAAGCATATTTGAGATTTACATGGCTGATTCTTGTCAGGCCAGAATAGGTCAAGACTTCTGCTTTCCTCTGCCTGTCGCCTAATGGGGAAATGAAAGCTGCTTTGTGTTAGTGGGGCACACAGAAGTTAATGAAATATGTATGCCTAGAATAATGTAACCCCGACCTCGGCTAAAATGCCATGTGCCATTTCCGCATCCAAAACACCTCGCTTGTTGATGCTGGAGTCACAGATTATGTTTCAGGTATCAGGCTGACCATGCTACCGCTTTTCATTACCATAAGAATTATTACCTTAACTGTTATTAAGGTTATTATTATTAAACATTATTACCATAACTGGTTCTGTGGATGGTGTTATTGAAGACAGACACTAATTTTACTAATATTTTTACACAAAATCAAGTTTGTTGATCTGTTTTAGTAACGCACGGTGAAAATGTTCACATTCACAACATGTTTATATGATTTAATATATTCAAATGTATGTACTGTTGCTTTTAATTGTTTTCATTAATGTCAGCAATGTGAATTCAGTCAAGATGTTTGGTTTGCATTAAGATGTAGGTGAAAAAAGTGCCACTTTCTCAGCAAAGGGTTAGATTATACAGCTCCTTAAGTATTGAGGTTTGTACCGAATTTTCATAAGATTGAGTGCAAACTAGTGCACATGTACGAACTGTTTGCTCTCACTGTCGTTCCTGAAACAAATGACACTAAGCCAGATTGCAATGTCAGTCAAACTATTCTGAAACTGTAGCCTGTAATATAGGCATTGCTGTCATTTGTTCCAATCTACGATCTCATTTTTTATGTAACTTTGCCATAAGTGGTTGAAGATGTAATGAAATCCAAGCACAAAGGCAAAAAATACAAAAGAAAAAAACATCTAATTTAACATAAAAATGAACAAACCACCAGTTAGCCACCAGCTATCTGCCTCCAGAAATAGCAGACATATACTGGTATGTGCTTCAAGTTCAACAGCAATGTGGCTGATAAACAACATTTTGGGGGAATAGTTTAAGAATAAATTGGATTTCAATGTGTTTAATTACATAAAGGATGCTGGCTTAGGTCAGAATTATGTGTGGTATGCTCGATCACTTCCAGCTACATCTGTACACATGGTCAAGATTTAAATAAAATACTATTTACTAAACTAAGCTAAATCTAAACCAATATTGTAGTTCTAGCCAGCTTCAGTTACCACAAAACACAACAGCATCTCTGATGAAAGCAGCACTGGCCAGCATATTCAAAACAATGTTAAACAAAATTGATAGAAGAAAAAATTCTTGAGGCAATGCTGCAAACAGGGACAGAAGTATTTCCACTGGGATGAGTGGGAAACTGTTTGTACCTGGGGCATCAAGAGGTTCTTTTTATACTTTGGTTCTTTTAATTAGGATCACTGAGGCTTCATTTGAAGCACTGAGGCATCAGTCTTCCTGTCTGCATTCAGAGTGAGAATACAGCGATACATGGTAACGCTGTCTCTGTCACAGAGGACAGAAGAATTCACTGGGCTTGTGTTAGACACAGTCTGTCCATCAATCCGTCTGTCTGTCTCTGAAGCACATGGAGAAAGGTGTTCGTGTAGATGTGTGTGTATGCATTTCACCACAACTGAGAGAAAGAGGCCTCCTGCAGCACGACTCTGGCAGTGCTGGGCCGCAAAGCTGCCTGAGCCATGTGCCTGGCGTTGCCATGGCAACAGAGGACTGCAAGACTGATACGCACACGTGTGCACACATACACACAGGCAAAACATATTCTCTCTTGCTGCCTCTTCTCTCCCCACACACATTCACGCAGCAGTCCAGCAGCAAAACGATGCAACAGGAATACAAAAGAACTTGCCTGCCTGTGCCGAGGAAAGGCATTAATTCAATTCAATTCAGTTCAATTTTATTTATATTGCGCCACATCATAGCACAAGTCATCTCAGGGCACTTTATATAGTAAGGTCAAGACCTTACAATATTAGAGAGAGAAACCCAACAATTCTCCCTTGAGCAAGCACTTGGCGACGGTGGGGAGGAAAAAGTGCCTTTTAACAGGAAGAAACCTCAGACACTACCAGACTCAGGGTGGGCGACCGTCTGCCTCGACCGGTCAGGGTGAGAGGAGAGGAGAGATGAGCATTACACAATGTTGGCAGAACACAGAAGATACCAGGAGAGAGACAACAACAGAGGGAGGAGAGGATATGAGTGGAAAGACAGAAAGAGAGAGAACTCTAGGGAGTTGAAATCTACCATCACCTGCTGTAGCTGACATTCACGCAAAAGAGTTGAAGCTTTTACTTGCAGACCAAAACCTTACAGTCTTTGTGTGAGGTGAAGGTACATCATCACACTGCCCTGGTACTACAGATGTTCAGTCTTCTTTCCAAAGCACCCTATTACGTGAATGAGGACTGCAACCGCCTATGAGCATCCTTATTGATTTTACTGACAATTATATTCCTGATTGGTCCGTGGGAATTGTGAAAAATGACTCAGGTGACTTATCCAAAGTGTAAAATTCCAAAAGATCTTTCATATCATATAGGATAGGGAAACAAGCACATACGTGAGAAAGGCTATCTATCTTAAAAATAGGTAAGACATTATCAAAACTATGTGTGTTTGTCTCTCTGTGTAGCCCTGTGATTGACTGGCGACCTGTACAGGGTGTCCCCTGCCTTGGCCCTGAGTCAGCTGGGATAGGCTCCAGCCCCCCATGACCCCAGTGAGGATTAAGCCATATGTAGATAATGGATGGAATATCAAAACGGTTGCTTTATTATTTTCTGTTGATTCATATATATCAATATATTAAAGAGATTTAAATGATTTATTTAAATCGATAAAGTTTTATTCTATTCTATTCAAAACAACTCAAAACAACTGGCTTTGACACAAGCTGATCAGAAAATGTTTTATGTTTACACTATTTTATTGTTCTTTGTTATCTTGCTTCATGTGAAATTCCCAGGAAAAAAAGCAGTTTGCAAAGCCAGCCCTCTGCAGTTGCCCATGATTACCTTTTACCCAGACACTGTGTGGACTTGTGCCCAGGAAGTTCAAATCTCAGATAAACGGTTGTGGGCAAGAAGCAACTGATGCCCAGCAGTGATAAGCTTTTACGATATGTTCTGCTGTACCTCCTCTATGCTCCCCAGGGTTCCCAGGTCTAGAGAGTAAAGGAGATTATAGCTCCCCAGCCAGCCAGCCAGCCAGCCAGCCTCTTGTGTAACACGGGGCTGGGTGGCAGATTGCTGAGTTGGCGATTCTCCTACTAATTGGATGACTTTGCAACCTCTGGCACTGTACAGAAAAATAATGCTTATCAGGACCCAAAGCTGCCAACTCAACTAAGAGACTCAACTTCACACCAGACTAAGCCACACTGTACACAGCGTCACCAAACCTTGCTCCTTTTTTTTTTTTAGACTAGTCTAGCCAGTCCTGAAACTTACTAAGATTGTACAAAAAGTACAAAAGCCCAGTGTGGTCAAGTTTCTTCTTACTAAAGCTCAGCCCCTATCTCAGATTGCCACCCATTCTACGAGTTTCTCCTCATGCTCCTACCAACCCTCTCATGTCCTATATCACCCACTGTCTGGGCACAGTGTTGCACTGCCAGTCTCTACAGGAAGTGCCAAGCTTATCTAGGCAGCTGGGACTGATAAGATAGCACAGGAAGGGTCATGCTTGGGTGAGTGAGCAGGTAGCAGTGGTGGGGGAGTCATCTACGCTAATCAACGCTACACATCTCTCCTAGAACAGATGCCAGGTCAGCCATTACAAGTCAAAGATAAACAAGCAGGAAGAGAGGCTGTAGAAGCCCACCAGTAGAATGCATTCATACACACACACCCATATTATTCTACATGTATTGAATGGCTGCCAATACACGTAATATAGTGCAAACTGTTGGAGGCGGTTCCAAACAAATCAGATGTTTTTCTGATTAGGGTGAGAGGGTAGAAGGGGGTGAGGGTAGTCAACAAAAATTCTGAGGGCTGCGCTGATTTTTTTGATAAGGAAACAATAGTCAGTGCTGGCTGACTGATATGTAAGTTAACATACGTTCTGCTTAGTTGCTACTGTTATCTGGTTTGACCTGCTCTAAACACCCAAAACACATATGCAGTCACCATGGCAACACACCCACCTTGGTTGATGTCCTCAATGGCCCGGCGTATGCCCCGGTCAAAGGCGCGGGCGTCAGCTGGACTCTGGAAGGTCAGTCCAAACTTCTTGTCATTGATCCTCCAATGGTGGAAGATGGGGTTGACCTTGTTGTAGACTAGGTCTTTCTGTAGAACACACTCCAATACCACCTAAAAAAAACATACACACACACATACATGGAGTCTGAGTAAAACATATATTTGCACTCCATGATGTTAGTATACAGACTGGATGCAGACTTTAAGCGGTGCGGTTTAATAATTTGAGAATGAAACTCACTGGGGAACACACATGTAAATCCTTCATCTAACTCCCTAAGCCGTTTTAATGTGTCACATTCAATCATTCCAACACAACATGACTAAGGCAAAAACAAAAAACAAAAAGGGAGCGCGTGAGAGAAGATTTCTGCACCTCAAACTACACATGTAGTAACTCGAGTTTCTAAAATAGAGACTGAAAAAAAAAACGTCACCCTAAACCCAATAATTTCACATACTTTTAGGGATAATTTGTAAAACACATTCTAAGTGGTGGGGTTTTCATTACAGATGATGTTAAAGTTGAAGAGCAGTGGTGGCAGGAGAGTGTGGGTGTGTGGAGGTGTTTTGGAGCCAGGAAGCCCAAGTGTATGGCAGAGAGAGCCTGTGTTTCCAAAGCCTATTATTAATCAGGGCTACTGGGCCGCCTCCCGGCCTTCCTCTAGGCAGATTAAATGAAATGAGAGACAGCCATTACAGTCTTTGAGGTTTTTATTGACGTGCACGAGAGGTGGCTTAATGGGGTGTGAATGTGTGAGCGTGCGCATGGTGGTCTGCGTGAGAGAACGCGTGAGCACAGGAGCTGGTGTGATGAAAAGCTCAATGACCCGAGCGCTACACTGTGCATCTTCGCTGCGCAAATGCCTTGTCGGAGAATAACAGTCGCAAAACCAATTCTCGATGGCTGAAAGCAGATGGCACGGTTCCCCCTGGATCTGGACAACAGTCAACATGCTCACTTTAGGAGGCTGATACGTGGCAGCTGTACAAGAGGTTGATGATATATGATACGCGTGTGTCGGAGGGGGAGTACACAGGTCTACATTCATTCTGTCTGTGTGAGCTGCTTTGTACGCTCAGTGCAAGTGTGCCGTAAGGTAGCTCACAGTATCTGTCCTCATGTCACTGTTGCATACATGCCTCCAACAAGAAAAGGAAGGGCAAGGGTTAAGCCTGTGTGTTTACCCAGAGCCAGTGGATGAGAGAAGGGAAGAAGAGAGGGATGGATGTGAGAGGATGGGGTGGCAAGGAAGGGAGGAGGAGGAGGAGGGGTCCACTGTGCCTCTGGGGGTGATTGTGGAGGCGAGACTGAATGGTGCCGGAGCAGGTAAGGTGAGCGCACAGCAAGGCCGACAGAGGAGGAAGTATCACAGTTGCATGGAAGGATGATACTTAACACCGCATTCCACAATGTGCTCAGAGAAAAGAGAGGAGGAGGAGGAGCCACCCTGACAGAAAGAGAGACAGAAAGGGAACAGAGGCAGGAGATGTTAAAGAAGGAGAGGGACAAAGACAGATGGAGGTGAGACACGCAAAGAGCAGTGAAGACATAGCGTGAGGGGAAGAATGGGGGAAGACAGATGGGGACTATGTTTACATGCACACAAGAACCCAGGTGAAAGAAATCACGCTACAATCTATACAACAGTGCTTTTGCTTTCAGAATTGTAATTAAAACTTGAGTCAAGTCATTTCAAGGCTGTTCAGCAAAAATGCACGAAATAAAGGGATGTTACCATCATAATTGTCTTGGAATGCAACTGTGTTTGTTTTGAGGATGTAAGAGAAGGCACTACAAGTAAAAAGGCAAAAAAGGGAGAAAGAGTAAGCATTTATATTTAAACACTAAGACGTGAACGTCTAGTAGGATGCATTTGTTGAAATTGATAAACAGCATCCCCCTCCAAGAATTAAAGTAATTAACCACATCGCTAGCCAAGATAAGTAAAAAAAGAAAACACAAAACAAATGACAAGGCTAACAGCAGAAGCAAGTTGTATCGAATAGGCCATTGCCCCAAGGCAAAGCTATTTCGAATGAGCCCGGACTACACCACATTCACAGCTGTATCAATCAGAGGGAGTGGCAGACTACGAACAACAGGAAGAGAGGTGGAGTGGCAGAGAGCTTAGCTGGAGATTTGTCATAATCCGAGAGCCAGTATGGTAAGTAATCAGCAACCAATTAGATCTGTAGTTTTAAGAGAGTCAGAGAATGAGAGGGAGAGTGAAAGAGAGAGTGTGAGAGAGGAGGGAGGGGGAAAGGAGGAGAGTGATTGGTAGCTATATGGAGAGCCAGCTGAGTCATCACCAGTACACTCTGTGCCGCATCACTGCGCTTATAGACAGATCCCCTCCACCTCTCTTCTTCCGTCTCCCATCTTTCTGGCTCCACCTCCATTTCCTGCTCTTTGACTACACACTACTCTCCCCCAATTCCTCTCATACCTTATGCATCCCAATTAACTAATTTCAAACAGCCAAAACTGTGCCTTTTTGATTTCAAAATAACTGCATCTCTGATCTCTTTTCTTCTGTCTAGCTAAGGTTCCTGTCAGTGACGTGAGATCACATTGTTTTTCTCTATTTAGTCTGTATCCAGATGGATTAAAGCACTGGAATTGCATCCTTTAACAAGACAAATACATGTACATATTTATATATAAAAACGTGGGAGACCATTTTTCTTTTCCGCGTTTCAGACATACCAAAATAAATCAAACACCCAACAAGCTCTTCCCTGGGCCTCTTTTCAGTCATACAACATAATTACAGTCTTTCATTTACCTCTGAAATCAAAACACTGATGTTATTGTTAAGGAAAATACAGTGGTAACAACTACTGATATTGCCATGTGTTTTTCCTGACAATGGCTAACATATTCTTATGTGGTTTTGTTTGTTGCTGTTGTTTTCTTGGACTCATCACTCTGCCTCTTCTTCTGATGCCCTCAGACTGTCGGTAGCGCTGCGGTTGACGCCGACACCCTGGCACTGGGTGGCATCCCAACAGACCTACATATGGCTGGGTGTTTGTTGTGGTGGCTGGGGACTCTGGCGGTGATAGGGGTGTTTTACCACATCCCAGAACAGTTGCTGGGGTCTCTGAACCATGTCTATACCCTGTCTGAACAACAGCATTCCCGTCACACCCTTTCCTGTGCCACACACATGCTTGGATAGCAACGCACAAAACACAAACATGCCATAAACACAAAACACACATAAAATGTGTTCAGTCAAAGAAGATTTCTTCCTTTTTAAAAAAGAAAAAAAAAAAAAGGTGATTTAGATGCCTTGCTGTAACAAGCCTCTAATGTCGTATCGTCAGGAACCACCAGATTATGTGCATCATGGTGGCCTCCTCAGTCTTCTGGCATGTGACAGACAGTTCTTTTTCTCACACAAATAGATTTACACTCTCATTACCACAGACCCAGGATTATCCCAGTGCATCTACTGGATCTGTTTCACATCTACACCATAGAATGAATGTGTGACAAGAAGGTCATGAGCTTTACAGCAACTACACTAAAAGCCATACAGATTAGAGACATAGTGTATGACTTGATCTTGTGTAGCCTCATTGTTACTGTGGTTGTGAAAAACCATACTAGGCCATACAGTTCGTAGGTTCTGTGATTTTATGTGGACATGTTTTGCAGGGTCCAGGTGTAAAGACCAAGAAACCATTTAACATGTCAATGATTAGAAAATAGCAATGCCTGAACTAAACATGTTCCATTGCTATAGTTACAAAAACTCAGCTTCCAATGGTTTACAAGCCTTTGCTGCTGCTAATAAATAAGGTTTTATACCTATCTTTATTTTGTTGTAGAAATTGGCCCAAAAAGTTTTTTAGCCATTCACCATTGAAAGCAATAAATTACTATATTGTTTAGCTATAGACACAACTGGATCCAAATGGATATACATTGTGTGTAAAGAGGTGGGGAGAAAAGGCTGCAATACAGTTGGAGTATGGCTGGAGTATAAAAGACATTGCACTTATGGTTTTAGTGGATTTATTGATTAAGTGATTTAACAAAACTTAATTGGCAGCCATTTTGATAATAAATTACACATTTGAGTTATTTTTCCCCAAGCAAAATGCAAAACCTTTGCTGGTTCCAGCTTCTCAAATGTGAAATGTTGACAATTCAATGTATATCTTTAGCAAGACAAGAAACAGGAATAGGTCACCTTGGCTCTGGAAGTCTTTTTTAGGCATCAGCGTTTTCTGATTAAAACTTAAAAGTAATTGGAATATTAATATATCATGAAAGTCATGGTTAGGGCAAACCACACTACAAAATATCTTTTGGCTAAATCAGAATTTTTCTGCATAAATTGTATTTAAAATTGCTTTATTTAACTGTTAACTAGAGACAACTGATTACAGTCAGTGTTTTGTGTCTATTGTTATGTCTAAAAGCCTATTTTCAGTTTTACCATTTTAATTATAGCATGCCCCACACATAAACACACTAAGTACTTCTTTAACTTTTATGCCAGGATAACCAGGAACATATTATCCTCCCTTAATTTGTTGACACATACAGTCTTTACAGCACACTTCAAAAAAAAGAGGAAATGCTTATAAATAGTCAAATACTTGTGTACTCATGGAAAACCAGAGTGAGTGTGAATTTCCAGCCCCTATCCCTTCCTGCAGGTCTCTTCCATGCTCTTTGTGCGTTTCCCACATCCCTCATCCCACATTCTCTTCTCTTGAGTAATGTGCCCTTCTCCCTGATGATGTCATCATGCATCACAGCATCACGCAGTTTGCTCCTATTTTCAGATACCTGCGCTATGGAGGAAAGCCAAACAACCACTTCCTGTGTGAGTGTGTGTGAGTGAGACAGAGAAAGCAGGGCTCATATAGTGATCTCATTCAAGAGATGTGAGTGTGCATAAGAAAGTATCGCTAAATAGAGAAAGTCAACGCAACAAGCAGCCGGTAACATATCCAGCATTAATATTCATTTATGCGCATAGCACATAACACGACTCCCATATATGGGATCGAGGTTCCCTTACCAGTTTGTCTTTGAGCCTTTCGCCCTTGATGTGGAACTCCACAGCGGTTGGACTGGGACTGGGGCTGGGACTGGGACTAGGACTGGGGCTAAGGTTGCCGCTGCTTCCTGCGCTGCCTCCACTGTGGGTGCTGCCGCTGTCCTCCGCCCGGCTGACCTTATAAACGGTGACACAGCTAAGGCCTCCGCCCCCCAGGGGAAGCCACCCACCACTGGAGTCATCCCGAGTCATGACCACTGCTCTCACACGCGCATAACTGTCACTGTGGAGGAAAAAGGGAAGAAAACAGAGTGGATGGGAGAAAAAAGAAGAATTTTTTAAAAAATGCTGTTCGCAAAAAAATGATCCACAGCTACCAACATATTTATATTTTGTTTCCATCGGGATCTCATTATATCACCTAGCCTACAAAAGCATAATCAGTATTACATAGCCTCAGCCTACATGAAATGTCAGCCCACATAATACAGTTGAACATCAGGATAAACAAGTTGTAATACAGTACATATAGCCTGCACAAAATGATCAGTAAATGTGAAGTGAGATGCAAACTATACAGACAAGGTAAAGTAAGGAGATGGGTCCACAATGACTATATCACGTGTTCAACAATTGAACTGAGTTCAACACATATCACATCAAACTACAACTACTCTGATACTAGGGGAAAATCTCGGTGGAGGCAAAGACTATTACTAGTAACACACTACTCTAAAATAGGTGACAAAAATAGAAAAAGAATGTGAAAAAGTCATGTGACAGATTCAATATTGGATCAAATGCACATTTTGGTTTTGGGACATGATACAACAGACTATTAGCTGTCTGAAACTGTCAGTGTATGTTTAACCACAGCCAGAGGGTGACTGACCATGGGGCCAAGTTCAGTCTCTGACCACTGCTGGTTTCCAACCTTTCCCCTAAAGCAGGTGGTTTTAAACTAGACGACACATGACGGGGGCTCCAGCTCACATCGCTGTCTGTCCTTTGAATCTCAGGATAAACACTGCAAGACAGCCTATGACAATACTTCACATTATCATGTAACTGAAGAAAAAAACTCTAAAATAAAGGGGCAAAGTGAGTTTTTTTTTGTTTTTTTTATGAAGCAGGAACCAAGCATAGGGTAGATTATTTACTTTCTCTTTCAGTGGATTATTCCATTTCAGTGACTTTATGGACAGCTAACACGATGCAGTTCATTCAAAAATGCACAGAGCTTCAGGTTTTTCATGTAGTTTTTCACTTACAACAACAAAAATGAATATGCCATGAATCAAATATCAAACGTTGGAAAAAGGAGACATTTCCATAAACAAATCTGATACAAATCAGAACTGAAACTCACTATACTGTGTAAGTGTATCAATAAAATATTACATAAGACAAATCATATCTATCACTTATTGTAAATTCTAACAACTATTGCATGCAATAATTCTAAATCTGTCCCTCATGTATTTCTCTCTCTGTCTCTCCACTTGGAGTCAGATGTTTCCCTGATTAGATAACACTGCACTGGGCCACCGGAAATGACAAAGGTCAGGGCTTGCTGAGGGCAGCGTTTTGCACAAACTGCTGGTAACATATTAAAGACTTGGAAAGATCAGAGAGCTGACAGAAATGGGCAGAAGAACTTAAGAATGTGACTGCCGGATGTCTCCCTGTGACACATTACTCTCTGGCCGACGTCCGGATTGACCAATGAAGGTGACGTCACAGAGTCTGAAACGTTTCTAAAAAATGTCTTCTCAACCTGTGGCCAAATCTGAAGCAGTCACTGAGGGAAAGAAATGTCACTAACAATAACATGTTCTGTGTAAAAATAGTAACGTGTAGCTCTTGATCCAAAAGGAGAATAGCTGCTTCCTCCCCCTTCCTGCCTCTCCTCTTGGCCAACTACATAAGGCTAACCTTTGGTCTGCTGCCTTCCACACCCTTGGCAAACCTCAGTGTCCAGGTTATTGGTTAGCAATTAATCTAAGACCCAGTGAGCATTAAATCTGAGGATATCTTTGTCTTTTTGTGAAACCATTGATATCCTGGCACCTGGTAATAGTTGACCAAAGGTCCCTCAGAGGATTGATAAATAGATCTAAATATGAGTCAAAAATAAACTAACCTACAAACCCGATGGCCTTTTTGAAACAACATGTAATCCTAGGCTTTCAGACATGCTCAGAAATTACAAGACTGTCTTCCTTTTTGAGTAAACTCAAATGTATGTGCAC